TACTCTTTGCAATAATGCTAGTATTCATCTATAATTATTTAGGAAGCTATATTTGCTATCGAGGGATTTGTGTTTTTTAATCCTTAGTTGTTATTTTCTCATTGTTTAAGCGATTTGTGTAGGTTAGGGATGTCTGAGAAACTTTGAAACTATGATGTACTTCGTTGATAATTTTGAAAAAATTACAAGTTAAGGAATTCCATATATCCATTGAGATATGGTCAGGTCTAATTAAAGAATGCAATATTTTGATACGAAATTATGCATGCTGAATAATCTTATGTAACTGGGATCTTAACACTTTTGAGTTAATATGAATGAAATACAGTTTGACCGTTCACATACGTTATGACAAATGTCCATATTTTAGTATTAGTGAATTCATAGGTTTTTATTTTATACAATTAAACGTTTCTAATCATCATTCAGAGAACAGCATGATCATATGGATGCAATCACTAAATTATAACTGGTACAGGAAGTTAGTGTTGATGTGTTAGTTCAGTAACAAATGCATATTATGCTAAATGAGTGTGAAAAATAGTATAATCTAGATAACTACATTTTTTTATCACTTCAGTTTGTGGAAACGGAATAATTTTGTCAAGGTCAACATTTAGTCAATATAGAGCAAGACTCTATTAATTTCATTGTACACATTTCCAAATTTATGGCCTTGATCAAACAAGTGAAGTAGATGACAGGGTGTGCAACTGTCAGTTTAATTAAAATCCGAGACGCTTTTTTAAGTGCGTTTTAGCTGTGGTTAGGGATAGCTTTATTTATCGCTTTGAATGTTTAGTAATTTTGAATAATAACCACTTCAAACTAGGATTGTCTCTTCCTTTTCTAATAAGTTTATGGACTGGTCTATCAGTAGAACTGAAAGGACGGTTAATTAGTTCTTTTGTTTCTGGCGTGTGAAAGTATTTTAAATGCTTTTGCAGGATTAGACTAATGAAAACAAGGTTGATTTTTGTCAGGATCTACGGACTAAAGTGATTAGCTTTCGTTGGTAAATGAGCTCGAGACAAATAACCTATTGTTGTTTGGTATTATGTGTTGATCTTTTTTGTAACTGATATCGGAATTCAGAATTTATATTTCAGATTGTATACTAGCAAATGTAATGAAGCGCTTTACTTTGTAAATTCCTTTTATAGATTAGTATTCTCAATAATGAGACTTAGTTTTATGACTTTCTGATTGAATTGTTTGGTTAATAAAAGTAAAAGTAAAGTAAGTGAAGAGCTGAAAGTATTTTTAGCCATTTTATAATATTTTTTGGAACTTACTTACTTACGCCTGTTACTCCTCGTGAAGGAGCATAGGCCACTCACCAGCATTCTCCATCCAACCCTGTCCTGGGCAATCCTTTCTAGCTCCGTCCAGTTGTAATTCATCCTTTTCATATCTGCTTCTATTATCCGACGCAATGTGTTCTTTGGCCTTCCTCTTTTTCGCTTCCCTTCAGGGTTCCAAGTTAGGGCTTGCCTCGTGATGCAGTTTGACGATTTGCGTAATGTATGTCCTATCCATTTCCATCGTCTTTTCCTAATTTCTTCTTCAGCTGGAAGTTGGTTTGTTCTCTCCCACAGAAGGCTATTGCTGATGGTATCCGGCCAGTGGATGTTGAGTATCTTGCGTAGGCAGCTATTTATAAATACTTGTACTTTCTTGATTGTGGTTGTTGTAGTTCTCCAAGTTTCAGCTCCATACAGTAGAACTGCCTTGACGTTCGTATTGAAGATTCTCACTTTGATATTGGTTGAAAGTTGTTTTGAGTTCCATATGTTCTTCAATTGTAGGAATGCGACCCTTGCTTTGCCGATCCTCGCCTTTACGTCTGCATCTGAACCTCCTTGTTCATCGATGATGCTTCCTAGGTATGTGAAGGACTCTACATCTTCCAGAGTTTCGCCATCAAGAGTGATTGGATTGCTGTTTTCCGCTTTGAATTTGAGGACCTTGGTTTTCCCTTTGTGTATGCTGAGGCCTACTGATGCAGAGACTGCTGCTACACTGGCTGTCTTCATCTGCATCTGTTCGTGTGTACGTGATAGGAGGGCTAGGTCGTCTGCGAAGTCCAAATCGTCTAATTGATTCTGAGTTGTCCATTGTATTCCGTGTTTTCCTTCAGATGTCGAGGTCTTCATAATCCAGTCGACCACCAGAAGAAAGAGGAAGGGAGAGAGTAAACAGCCTTGTCTGACTCCAGTCCTTACTTGGAATGCATCTGTCAGCTGTCCTCCATGCACTACTTTGCACTGTAGTCCGTCGTATGAGTTCCGGATAATGTTGACAATCTTCTCAGGAACTCCGTAGTGTCGAAGAAGTTTCCATAATGTCCTCCTATCTACACTGTCGAATGCCTTTTCATAATCAATGAAGTTGATGTATAGTGATGAGTTCCACTCAACTGATTGTTCGACGATGATCCGTAGTGTTGCAATTTGGTCTGTGCACGACCGATCCTTACGGAATCCAGCTTGTTGATCTCGAAGTTGGGCGTCTACTGCATCCTTCATCCGGTTCAGCAACACTCTGTTGAAGACTTTCCCTGGTATTGACAGTAGTGTAATGCCTCTGTAGTTTTCACATTTGCTCAGATCTCCTTTCTTTGGAATCTTGACGAGGTGTCCTTCTTTCCAGTCCATCGGCACTTGTTCCTCCTCCCAAATCTTTTTGAATAGAAGGTAAGCATGCTTGTGGTTGCTTCGATGTCTGATTTCAGTGCTTCAGCTGGTATGTTGTCGGGTCCTGCTGCTTTCCCGTTCTTGATTTGTCTGACGGCCATTCTAATTTCTTCCGTCGTTGGTGGGTTGACATCTATAGGAAGATCTATGTGTGCTGCTTCGATGTCCGGTGGATTCATTGGAGCCGGCCTATTCAGGAGTTCCTCGAAGTATTCTACCCATCTGTTACGCTGTTGTTGAATTTCGGTGATTGGCTTGCCTTCTTTGTCTTTGACCGGCCTCTCTGGTTTACTGTATTTCCCTGCTAGTTTCTTCGTTGTATCGTGAAGCTGTTTCATATTTCCTTCTCTAGCAGCTTTTTCTGCCGTCGTTGCTAGTTCTTCCACGTATTTCTTCTTGTCGGCTCTAATGCTCCTCTTCACTTGTTTGTTTGCTTCTATGTATTCAGCTTGTGCTTGGACTTTCTCTGCTCGTGTTCGGCTGTTGTTAATTGCTGCCTTCTTGTTCTTCCTTTCTTTGATCTTGTCCAGTGTTTCTATAGAGATCCATTCCTTATGATGGTGTTTCTTTAGGCCCAGAACCTCTTGACACGTTGAAGTTAATGCTTCCTTGATGCCTTTCCAGTTGTCCTCCATAGTAGTTTCTTCTTCTTTCAGTAGATCTTGTAAGGCTTGGAACCTGTTGTTGAGAGCTATCTTGAATTCATTGAGTTTGTCAGTATCTCGAAGGAAGGCTGTATTGAACCTTTGTAGTGCTGTTTGTCCACTTGTCCAGTTCTTTTTAGCTTCAGTTTTAAATTGGCTACAACTAGGTGGTGATCTGAAGCTACGTCAGCACCTCTCCTGGTTCTCACATCTTCCATTGTCCTTCGGAATTTTTTGTTGATGCAAATATGATCTATTTGGTTCTCTGTAGTGTGGTCCGGTGAGATCCATGTAGCCTTGTGTATACGCTTGTGTGGAAATATTGTGCCTCCTATGACCAATTTGTTGAATGCACACAAATTTGCAAATCTTTCTCCATTTTCGTTTCTTTCTCCCAGTCCATGTCGTCCCATAATATCTTCATATCCAGTGTTGTCTATTCCGACTTTGGCATTTAGATCTCCCATCAGAATAGTTAGGTCCTTTCTTGGGCATTTCTCAATGATTGACTGCAGCCGCTCGTAGAACTGATCTTTAATGTCGTCGTTGCTATCATTGGTGGGTGCATAACATTGGATAATATTCATTAAGATCCCCTCCTTCTTTGTTTTGAATGATGCTTTGATGATTCTGGATCCGTGAGACTCCCATCCTACAAGTGCATTTCGTGCTACTTTGGACAGCATAAGAGCGACTCCCTGAGTGTGTGGAGCATTGTCCTCTTCGTGACCGGAGTATAGCAGCATCTCTCCCGTAGCTAGCCTTTTCTGTCCAGCTTGGGTCCAGTGGGTTTCGCTGATTCCCAGTACTGCTAAGTTGTATCTCCTCATTTCCATTGCTATTTGACTGGTCTTCCCGGTTTCCCACATTGTTCGAACGTTCCATGTACCTATAAAAATTTTTGCTCTGGTTGTTAGAAGGGGCATCGGCCTCGTGGCTTCCGAAGGAACTCGGCTTTCACCATGAAGCGTCATAATTCTTCTAACTGAAGACCTTCTAACTCCCAGGGCAGAGTTTAAATGGTTTGGATTATTTTTTCTGGTAAGCGTTTTTTTAGCGAGTTAGTTTTCTACGGGATGGGGACGCTAACCCCATGCCCAACCCTCCTCCTTTACCCGGGCTTGGGACCGGCAGTAACCCTATCAGAGCTACAGGCGGAGTACCTGTGTGGTTGCGCCACAGGATTGAGCCGTACTATTCAGATTGTAGCGTTTAAAGCCTGTACGGTGTCTGGTTCCTCTGCTAAACGGGGTTGAGCTGTACTGTTTGGGTTTTTGCGTGAAAGTCTGGATGGTGTCTGGTTCTCCTGAAAACCAATGTAAAATTACCCTGGCCCACAAGGGTATATTATATTTTTTGGAAGACAAACTGTAATTCTCAAGATAAATGGAGTATGTGCATGTTTACTTCCTAAACGTCAGCCGGTAAGTATAATCCGAGAAATGTTGGATCTAAATCACAAATATGATGAGAAAGAGTATTTTATTGACTCAATAATACATTTTAGTTACATATTTTATTCTGATCTTGACATATTAGTCTAAAATATTGAATACAAAAGTTTATGTGAATTAAACCATCTATCTATTGGAATACCAACTAAATAAACTTCATAATAGCTTGTATTTTATTCATAAATTAAATAATAATAAGAATGATAGAAAACTGGATTTTATAGTTTATACTCTGTAAATCTTGGGAGACATATACACTTGCATTTAGTTTTTTCTGTTACTGATCATGCCAATTAGTTCTTTTGTAGATACCTATATATGGAGAGAGATTTAGAGGAAAATTTAATTTGTGAATCTGTAATGAAAAAAGTATTATCAACTTTTATATTCTAGATGGTCTACTTTTTATCCATGGAATTTTTTATGGGTCGTACACTGAAGAATACAATGCTTAACGTAGACACAGCAGAAGCTCTGGATGAAGCAATGTATCAAGTGAGTAACAGGCATAAAAACATGATTTATTTCACGAAAGTAAATTCACTACCAGAGTGCTTTGGGTTTTGATATCCAAGTGCCAGCGAAACTAGACGTATTCTATGGTCTATACCTACAATTAAAACTTTAAGTGGATCCCGATTGTAATAATGCTTATCTTAGAAATAATTAGGCTTTTCGTACTACCTTGCCTCAAAAGAATATACTTTTAAGAATGAAATAGCTAATATAATTGAACATAACATAAACGGAGTATCTTGAATTAGTCATAAATCTCTGTAAACTCCAAAAACAAGCCACAATCATCTCCCACGTCCAGACTTTAATCGGTAGTAATCACGACGTATCCTGGTCGTACTTCGTAATAGCATGTCTGATTAAGTCAACTGTTCCTATAGTTTTATTGATATTCAAAATTAAACTTCTAGAGGGTTAAGCTTTCAATCTAGATGTACCTGAAATTATTGTGAGTGATGGTCAGTCTATAACGCGAATTCACTGAAACTGGTAAATTTGGATAGTTGAATTATGAACAATTTACTCATTCGTATAACTAGTCACACAATGAGAAACAGTTGTCCAGTGCTTGCTGGGTTTCATTCATCGTTTTTGTCATTTTTACAAATTAATAAAATCAATATCCATGTTAATCGATTTCTTACATACTATTTATTGGAAATGTATTATAAACATGTACAATTTTACTATAGGTCTTTTAGACAAATATGTGTTGATAAATTTGACCGTAGATTAATGTGTAGTTTAATAGGTCTAAAGATAATCTAATTTATTATATGTTTAAGTCTTTGACGCAAAGAATTGTTCCACATAAAATAATCTGTCAGATGGGTAGGAAAACCATAAACTAGTTCTTTGCGCTATTTATGTACGAATGAGTCATTAACAACAGTAAAATCAGACAAGTTTAATGGGATCAGCACTATTATTATTGAAAGAGAAATCGTTCAATCCAATATTTTTTTGTTTTTGAAGAGAAATGAACTTATTTAATGATTTTGAAGTTAGACCTAATTTTGATTGAGGTCAAAAGTAGCAAAATACTCTACTGGATCATCGTAAACAAAAATAAACCGCAAATGGGGTTTGTGGAGATTGTAGTAATTTAATAGTTGAATTCATGAGTCGATTAAAGCTAGACCACCGTGAAAAACCCGGAAGCACTGGACGGTCGTTTCGTCCTAGTATGGGACTCTAGCAGTGCGCATCCTCGATCCCGCCAGCGGGATTCTAACCCAGGGCCTTCGGTTTCGCGCACGAACGCCTAACCTCTAGACCACGGAGGCGGCATCCAACGGTTTTAATGTCTAAATTAGTCTGGATATTTTTGACTTCAGAAGTGAAAAAAATATCTGACAGTTAAACTGAAATTCGTCAACATATACAGAGAAATTGTAATATTTGGATACAGTTAAAATATCACACATATTTAATCGAAGTGTCTAAGTTTCGAGTCGATAGTTAAGTTTTCAGTATGGGGTTGTGGAGATTGTTGAGTTGCATTGAAATCATGAACCGACCACCTAGGTTCAATCACCATCGAAAACCTGGAAGCACTGGACGGTTGCTTCGTTCTGCTATGGGACTCCTCAGAAGTACGCATCCACAGTCCATCACGTGAGACTCGAACACAAGACCTTCGTTTTCGCGCATGAACGCCTAACTACTAGACCTTTTAGTTGTCGTTCAACAGTGTTAATGTCTAACTTCAATCATCCCTTGACATTATCTTAGTCGAGAGTCAAGAATATTCCTGAGCTCTCGTAACTATGTACCAGCATAGTGTGGAAAATGAGACAGCAAATCTATTAATAGTGCCTTTCTTTATAGCCTAGTGGATAGTGATCACCATATCAAAGTAGAAGCCTTCTCTGCCTTATATCGAGTCTCAAGAAATCTACGAGTGGGAGTAAGATTACTCCTCCTCTACATAGTTGAAGCCGTAGGGATTGCATCCAGAAAAATTAACGAAGATTTCGAGACTCGGTATACTTAGCCCCCTTGTTCATTATGGCTCAGGATTCGGACATCTAATCAAATCTCATGTTTATTTCTGCACTGCCCCATTATTAATTTCATGTCCATCTTTCTCAATTGATATGAAATTTTTATCATTATTATCGTAATTATCCTGGAAACATTTCTCCTATTATATATTATCTTCGCACGAAGTTTATTATTATTATTGTTATTATTATTATTATGACTATTACTATAATCATCATTAGCATTGTATCATTTAATCACAATGTATGGTTTATGTTGGCCATTGTAATAGAACTATTATAGAATGATAGCTGTTCTTATAGATACTACTTATCAATTAGACATGAGGATATGTTCATAAAATTCACTTTTTATCTGATGTGGGATTCAATCAAGAGAAAATGTGCCAATCATATCTAATACACTTGTTACTAGATTGAGATTGTTTATTATGTAATTCTATGTTCACTTGAAAATAGTTTCAATGTATTAAATTACTGTTCGGTTTAGCGAACTATGTTTGCACACTTATGAGGGGATATTGTTTAGTTAAGAAAAAGCACACTTAAGTTAGTGGTGTTGAAGAAAGATTTTCACTGAAAGCACTTCACCTAAATATATCAATATCTGGAAAACACCGACCCATAATGGATAAGCTAACAAAGGAGTATTTATGCAAATGAAAGTACCTCACAGGGAATGTAAAGATTGTCACTAAATGAGACAATAAAAATATCCTTCATAAACTTTGTTATGTTTTTAGAATGTAATACCATATTTAAGCGAAACTTCTGTGGTTGCTTACAATGGAATTCATAATGCACGTTTCGTACTATTCGAGATACATCAGCTTGGTGCGCTTGAATCCGTGTTCGTATTCATACCGGGACTCAAACCCAGTACCTATCGAAGCACTCAGCTAGCGATACACCTGTGTCAAAGAAACTGATCAGTTTCAGTTCATAACACTAACAACTAAAAGATCAAAGCCTTTATAAGCGAAAATAATATCATTATATTTAAAATAGAAGACCAGCAAAACACACCAACATGTTATATTCAGTATTCTCAAATTACCCGACTGTTGAATTCGGAAAGCATGTTTGTAATTGCTTAGAGTTGATTTAGAAATATACATTCTTAGATGGACAGGTTTATCATCATTCCTAGTTTGTCGTTTATTTAGACAATGTTGAATTTGACACTGATGTTGTTGAATAAGCATGCATTAGTTTAGTTAAGCAAGATTATGAATTACATGTTAGTTGATATGGTTACCAGTAAACTGAGCATCTGATTTGCTCACAAAGTCTCACTTTTTATAGATGATCAGGCTGCCTACTTACGAGTAGCTAAAAGTTACGATGTTTGGTAATTATTCTAACGTAAACAGTTTAAGCCAAATGGTTGCGTAACCGATCTCTATTTTCCACTTTGTTTCAAGGGAGTAGATTTATCCATCTTTTGATTTCGAATTTTTTTATCTTTGTTGCTCAGCACAAATACATAAAAATAATTACAGTATGCTAGATAGAATCACAATATGAAGGTAGAGCACACTTAGTGTCCTTGATCACTATAATAATCCTTTTTAGATATCTGTGTCACCAACCTAACCACGCAAATACAAACTACAGTCTTCGTAAACTGAACTTCTCTCGGTTGTCAGTAAAGCATGACACAAGTTTGGAATGATATCATGAATGGTACAATGGTAGACCATCATTGAAAACCTGGAAGCATTGTATGGCCGTTTCATCCTGGTATGAAACACCTCAATAGTGCGCATCTACCATCCCTCACACGAGACTGGAACTCAGGACCTCCGGTCTCGCGCACAAGTATTAAACATTTTACTTTCAATCGTCTATAAAAACTATATTAATTCATTCCACTAACTTAACAAATATCACCATTGGTAATAATAATGATAATAATAATAACAGTAATAATAATAATCTCGATCCTGTTTTTCTGGTTAGAGGTAAATAGCAGAAACGTTTACATTTATTCAGTGTCGTACAATCTGATTATTTGTATAGGCATTCTGCATGTTTATTAGATCATTAAAAAGTCGATTTTTAAATGAATCTTGTTAAGAATTTAACAGTAGTGGAGTAGTGAGTTCTTTGTATGATAGCAAAGTGTATATATGAGGCAATTGAAGTGCTCGATAAAGTAGAACATTCTAGCGTTTTGGTATCTTTGAACTTTCGTAATATGGTACATCAAATATGAGCACTTTTCTAACCTATTGGTAATTACTGCGCGAAAATTCAATGACTTTTTATTTCAGTAATGATCGCTCATTTATTCTAGCTTGGTTTGGATATTGAAGAATTGGAAGAAATGGAATGCGATGCAGGACTTGGCAATGGTGGTTTGGGTCGACTGGCTGCATGTTTTCTTGACTCAATGGCTACAATTGGTTTAGCAGCTTATGGTTACGGAATACGTTATGAAAATGGCGCTTTTCATCAGATGATAAAGGATGGATGGCAGGTAAGAATTTAAGAAGTAAACCTATTTCTTAAACTGCTCTTTGAAATATCTCATTATATTTTAAAAAAGTTATAATCAATTGGCACACTTTTAAAATTATAGGTTGAAGAACCGGATGAATGGTTACTTTATGGTAATCCTTGGGAGAAAGAACGCCCTGAATTCACTCGCATAGTTCAGTTTTACGGTAGAGTTATGCGCAATCATTTAGATCAATGTAAATGGGTTGACACAGAAACAATATGTGCCCTACCTTATGAAGTTCCTATACCTGGATATCGTAATCAGACATGTAATACGCTTAGATTATGGTCCGCTAAGGGCAGGAAATACTTTGATACGAAAATTATTCATAACAATGATTATATAAATGTAAGTTACCAAAAGAATATTTTTGACTTATTGTATGCATTTTACGAATTTACAAAAATTCACCACTCATTTGTGGCTAACTTCTGGATAGATTGCTGAAATTCTAGGGAGAAGTTTTTACCGATAAGACTCAACCCTTATCGGAGTTAATAGTCATCTACAATAACAATGACTGATGGTCTCACAGTGTTGTGAATTATCTGAAATGGAACATATCAACGATTAAACACCATTTCATTAGTCTAAAGGTAATCCCTTCATAATAAGGTCCAGAAAACTCAAATTCCAGACTTAGTGAAATCCTAAGTAGACACTACTGAGGGGCTCGATACTAAGATGAAATAAATGTTCACTGCCTCCTGTTTTTCAGCGGTTATGTAGCTAAATTCAGTCCATGATATTAGACTAAATTTATTGTACACTAATCGTTTTGGTCCATATAGTTAACTGTTTACTTTTTGAACTACATCATTTTAATGCTTTTAGCATATTTCGGTTACTAGCTTTTTCAGAACAGCTTGCTTATTTAATAGTCGCTTGCTTTAATTTTTTTGCAAATCCACTATTTTACACTGTATTAGCAGTAAAATTGTTCTGGTTTCAATTAACACCATTTGATTATTATATTGATTATTTAGGAATAAAAGATAACAGAAAAAAGTGACAATTTATTTAAACACAGAGAATACTAGAGGGAAGGGTTATTTTCATAATAACTTCATCATCAGGTTGACTGACTGACTCTACAGTTATAAGTTCATAATTATTGTATTACAATGGCAAAAATATGGAGTTTATTTATGCTTGTCGTACGTAGTTTAGTAATATGCTAATTGGATGGTATTTTTACGATTATCATACAGTTACTTAGTATAAATGTATCAATCATTTTTATTTCAAACTGATTTGTTTAACCTCAAATAAGCCTTATTGTTTTGATCATTTTGATCTTGCAAATGGAAATCAGTCCATTGAAATACATTTTTAAAATCAAACAATTGTCAAAAATGTGATTCATTTATATTACGTGTTTGATACTTGATGAGCGATTATCCTAACTTTGTATTCGAACCAAAACAGTTTGACTACAATACCAAGTAGCATTCAACTAATGATTAAAGAAGTTTTTCGTCTTATTCATTGTACGAAAAAATCGATTATTTAAGATTAAATGCTACGTTTGCAAACACCCACCTGTTGTTTCTGAAGACTTTTCAGGCCTGTTGTTAGCTTATGTCAAATAAAGCAAACAAAACAGACACGTCTCTTAGTTTGCAAAATTATTGGAAGTTCTGACCCGTCAAACATGTGTCTTTAAAAATTTCAATTCGAAATTCTGATATTAAAATCTGCCTTATACCAGCATTTAAATCTTTGAGTTGTATGCAACGTAGAATCTATTGCATGTATGCATTAGTTCACGTTGCCACACTTCATTGGCACAGCGAGCTCCCAGAGTAGTAGAAGTAGTAACATTATTAGTGGTAGCAGAAAAGAATAGGGAAAGCAGATATAGTTCAAGAATAATATTTGAAATTGTGGAATAAAAATAACTATTATATGATTTAGAAAGTCAAGATTTAAGGGAAGACAAAGAGTGAATGCACCGGCTGCATTGGGAAAGATTCTGAGTCATAATATCCAAGGTCCCTTACCTTTGGTTAAGAAAATCTCGCGGAATCCAATCAGTTGGTAGTCACCTACCTACTTGGTCTGTTCTAATTGACACTGGTTTCATTGAATGATGCCATGGCTTGGTTAGGGTGCCCTTGACTTTTAATGTACGTATACACCAGATTACATCATTCATCAAGGTAGGCGGTAGTTGGGCATACGTAATACAACGTTTAAATGACTAATGTTTATCAAGTGTACGTTACAAATCTTCCGTTCTAACTTCACCATTTTTTCGAATAAGAGGACAGTTTAAACTTTTGAATATTTTCGCTTGTATAGTAATTATTTATTACTTTGATATAGGCTACTTCGATTTCTGTAAATAAATTCTGTATTGTTGAAGTTATCATTTTACCACAAAATGACACATCTCTTCTTTGTTTCCCCTCACTTTTATGTTTATGAATGTATGTATCCACGGTAAATAAGGTGCTGTTCATATTCTCTCGTAACTTATATTTTTCTTCATTAACTATGCAGCCAATCAAAATTCTCCGTTATCATCCATTTTTGTGGCATCAATGTAACACTGAACAGTAAACTGTTTTGCCACAATCGATCTACAAAAAAACAGCATAAATTCATGTATTGTTTTGTTAATTTAGGCTTGCTCTGTTCTATTTTTTTAATCCTTGGTAAATAACACATTTTGTCATGTATTTACTTCTCGTAAAGTCTTTAATTCACAATGTTTTTGCAATAATAAAGCCTAATTTAAAGTAAACTAGCACATTCAAAGTGATAATTCTCTTCGTTTTTTTAAAAATCTTAACAATCAGGCTATACTTGGCCGTAATGAAGCTGAAAATATTTCTCGTGTTCTTTATCCAATTGAAAGTGCATTCGAAGGTAAAGAATTGCAATTAAAACAAGAATACTTTCTTGTATCCGCTACATTGCAAGTAAGCTGAAATGTTTATCTATCATCCATGATTTCATCTGTGGTTATGTATAATATGATCTATTTTAGCCATTCGATAATAACTGCGACTAATGGATTTAAACAGTTGATCACCTTAAAATAAACCTCAAACACAATTTACAATTGATTGATCATTAGGTAGTGATCAGTGTTACGTGTGTCATGTTATTCTTAGTGCAGATCGAATTCTATCAACCAAGCTGCAATGTAGTCACTGGTCTAGGTGACTTGACACCGCGTGCTCGAAATCTAGGTTCAAGGTTTCCTGTTGACTACCTCCAACCACCATTTCACTAAACACAATGAATAAACAATTGTTCAAACAGTTTTATGGGTCTTCTTTGGGGGGTGGGATAGACGGAGAATAGTGAGGATACCTTTGGTTTAGAGTGTGAATCGCTTTCAACAGAGAAAGATATATATAAATCATGTGATCAAGTTTAAAAGTAAATGCTCATATCGAATCACACAAAAAACATGATGAAACTATGGTGTGTAATGTAATTTTGTTATAATATTAAATAATTTCATCTTATTCGTATTAATTAAGTGCCATTCATATTACTAAATAGTGAAAAAAAACTGTATTACTGTATCTTAAAAGTTCTCAATTCATTTACTTTATGAATTTCATACTGAGTAAAATATAAGCTAACAAAATATTTTTATGTTTATATCATAACGAAAGTTTTTTTATTATAATCAGTATAGGGTTGTGGAGATTGTTAAGTCTAGGTTGGTATCATGAGTGGACCAATATTAGACCAACATTGAAAGCCTGGAAGCACCGGACGTCTATTACGTCCCAGTATGGGACTTTCACGATCCTGCACGTGGGATTCGAACACAGGGTTTCAGGTCTCGCGCGCCGATACTTAACCTCTAGATTACCGAGTTTACATCCAATGGTGTTAATGTCTAGCTTCAGCCAATCCACGATATTACACGATCGTCCACCATGGTTTTCAGTGAGCAACTGCCTTACAACAGACACGGTTGAACTTCACACGCGAGACCGAAGGTTGAGTTCGAGTCCTCTTGAGGGATCGTGGATGGGTCCCTATACTGGGACGAGATAGCCGTCTGAAGCTTCCAGGTTTTCAGTGGTGGTCTAACATCAATCAGTTCATGATCTCAATCAAAAACTTAATAATCTCCACAACCCCATACTGATGAATTCTTAACGTTGAGTATTCATGACCGTACGTCAAACTGAATTCACAAAGTTCGGTGTTCTATAAAAAATTTTTCTTGGATTAAATCAGTCATCCCAAATCACATCACTGAACAAGAACATATCGTTTATAAGCATTCTTAATATCAATCTTAACTTTATTATATAATTTATATTTTTGTTTGAATAATTAATACAAAATTCTCATTGTTATTTTGTTTCATTTTTTAATTAAACAAAAAAGGATATACTGTATCAGTTTAAATCATCTTATCCAACTTATGAACTATTTGAATTACCAAATAAAGTTGTAATTCATATCAATGATACACATCCGGCATTAGCTATTCCTGAACTATTGAGGATTCTAGTTGATATAGAGTGTATGGATTGGATTGATGTAAGTAATAAAAGTTTAGTAATCAGTCTAAGTATTTTAAATAATAATCGATATCATACATATATTTAGAAATTTATGGTCAGTCACGTAAACTATTAAATACCGTATTAGTGGTTTGAAATTTCGGCTCTTACTTTGGAACCTGAAAGTCTTGGGTTCGATTCATAGTAGGATCATGGATACTCACTGTGAAGGTGTCCTATGCTAGGACGAAACAACTGTCCAGTGCTTTTTGGTTGTCAGACTAATATCAGTTTTGTGAAGCTAACTATTGTATTTTAAATGCACTATCAGTCTTACATGATTTTTTGTAAAACAAATTCTGGTTAAAACTGTCTAACTCATAGAAATCAGCATGATCTCAAGAGTATCTTTGATCTACAAATCTTATTCCATTATTGTAACTTGTGTACTGATTACACGTGGAAATATTATTAACATTGTGTAGTACACATAAACAATTAGATTAGTACAATAATTAAAGGAATTATAGTCAATAAGTGAAACGCGCAAACATACCCACCAGTATTTCGTGTCTTATCGAAATGAACAAAAATTATGAGTTACACTAATATAATTGGCAGGTCACATGCAACAAGAATATTCTACAGACACATCATACCAGATTGACGTGGTGCAAGCTTAAGCAACGATTTGATTAGTTAGTTATAGACATAACTAACAACCTTCTTGTTTAATTTCAAGCTCGTTTAATTATTACCTAGCTGAACTTCCAGTTTTAAGTTTATACTACATATAAGAAGATATCTAAGAAAATTTCAATGATTCCAAAACGAATATGGGTTTGACTAGAACAGTATTGATTGACTAGGCAATATTTGTTTTTAATAACAGAATAATAAGTTACGTTCGAAGGATGTATACGAGAAAAATTCATTCAATTTAACTTCAGTTAAGCTTGTAGTTTATTACGTCTTCATGACCAACATAATAGTGTAATGGCAATTATGAATTGCTATGCTTCATTCTTTCTTTTTTTTCAAAAAACGGTCTCCGTACTACCATCACGGAAATAATAAGAGTTATACCTAAAATATTGTTAGAATTAATTGTACTCGATAATGGAGATAAATTTTCTATTGTCTTTCTACTCAGGACTTTTGTAAATTTCCAACTGGCTTCATTATTTCATATAATTCCCATTATCTATAAATTTAAATAACGCAGAAACAATGAACGGAGTAGAATAAAATGAATTCATTTTATTTCATGGTTTCTCATCAGCTACTTACAATTTAAACGTCATGATATTATTCACTAGAAATCGGTGTACATAATTTACATTCATAATATCGAAAAAAGTTTTCATGAATTATTATTATTATATTTTTGGTACAATATAGAATTTTCAGCACAAAGTATTTCAGCGAGTTTTCGTTTCTTATTTCTTGATCGATATTGACAATAAATATTGAGTGATCGCTAGTTAGTTATTAGCATTTCAGAAGTCGATATCTGAATAATATTCATTCTTTTCAGTGAACATTTCCAACCATCACGATGTCTCCGATTGTAAATTTTTGTAACTTGTACAGTAAAAGGTTGTAAACTCTTCACAAATGCACCTGGATAGGTTTTACAATTAATTAACATAATGATCTGCTAAAACAAACAAGGAAACAGATAACTTGTTGAAATATCTAAATGGAAGGAACAGGTAGCCCAGTTATTCAAGCAGAACACCTCTGAGAGATTCATGTAGAGAGTAATAAGTATCGAAGAGCTATAACTGATGTTCATATGTTAAATAATAACAATATTTCTTTGTTGAATATTTGAATATTCTAGAATGAATGAACTGGGGCAATTAGAAATAAAATATTTATGTTCAGGCTATTTAATCCTTAAAGCATAATATAACGTTTAAATTAGTATAGATCAAATGAAATGTGTGAATTAATAATAACTACTTCCATAGAAAGAAGAAATGATAGTATTGGCATCAAGTATGTACACTGATTTTTAATGATTAATACTATTATTTTTAGGTGGTAAGTAGTGGATTAGAAATTGTGAAATAAAATGAATTCATGCTCTTGTTTTGTTGCTATCTATTAACAGGACGAAATTACATGCTTTATTACATTTATCAGTACTGATTCTTTTCATCTATTTTACTCTAATAGGCATGGGATATATGTTCACGTGTATTTACTCATACAAATCATGTATCACAAGTAGAATGTTTAAAGTATTGGCCATTAGATATGCTTCAACGTGTTCTACCTAGACATGTGGAAATTATACGCAATATCGATTATCATTTTAAAAGTGTAAGTTCAAATTTATCCAATGTAACTATTTTAGGGGGAAAATAATGTAACTAGTGGATTTATAAATATGGGTGTTTATTTATTGCCTCATGTGGAAACTCAACAAATTATGTCAGTTTTCTTTTTTAGTTTTGAACTGTAAGTAATTAAAAAAGAATACTTACATATGAAATTCCAAATCGCTCATGCTAAAAGACTAAACGAGAAATATTTTGTAGAACTTAGATTCTGACAATAAAGTTTTTAATGTGTATCTGGCATCATTATGAAAATCGGACATGATTTTTTCAGTAGGACTTGACATTTCAATAAAAAATAACCAAGTTTCTTCAAATATTTACAATTAAAAAGCGGAAGAATATAAATTGTTGCATATAATAGTGAATATCATACTCTTCCCACTGTTTGTCCGTTATCGTGATTCAGTAATCTAGCCTATCACACTGAACGATGGGCACCAGGTTCGAATATCATTTTAAACATCACCACTAAGATTCAGGCAAATCCGGTTGGTGATCTCAAATAGAAAGGGATGCGTATTCAGGATTTCACTGTTATCCATAATCCAAATAATATAGTCAAATGTCAATTAGAGGAGATATCAAACCCTTTACTCAAGGAGCCTATATACCGACAGAGATTGGCTAAATTTAACCCTGAATATCAGCAACGGAAAATTACATACCCCACAAATAATGTTACAGGTATCGTTTTTTGTTCGTTTCAGGGATCAAACACATTAGGATTGTATTAATGCTTTCTTATGATGATTTAAAAATAACATGGAAGTGAGTTGTTCGAAATAATTCATAACATTTATTGCTAAGATATCTCTACTTTACTTGTTTCCAACCTAATAGCACCGATAAAAGATGAAGTTTTGTTCAAAGAATAGTGGATATATTCATAGACTAGATTTTTCTATTGTCAGACAATCAAAGTAGTATTCATAAATTGTCTTTGTTTATCTTTAGGCACTTAATCCCGGGTCATAATGATTAAAGGACTGAAGGAATATTTTACTCGATTGATTGTGATCTCAATTAAGATGTCCTATAATTAATTCAAATCAAAGAGTGGTTTGTAATTTCTTAAGAAATCCCTGCTGATTGTCAGCGTATACTTTAAAAAGAATCAAGCTATCAGGATTTTTATACAATTCTTTAAAATCTTTCTCCATCAAGATGGAATTTAATCTAGTGTTGTGCATAATTGTTTGGTCGCCATTTGCATACATTTTTTGATTATCTTCTCTCTTGACATGATCGCTTATCTTGAAGTTTTTTTGTAATTTTTCCTGTCGGCGTGCAAATTACGTCCATTTGTTTGTGTTTTGTTTGTCCATTATTTCGATATCTTCCTAACTAAATGAAAAAAAACCTCAAAGATCGCAACCACTTGGAATAATAATGGCATTTGTAAGAATAGGGCGAAACTGTATGTAGTTCATGTAATAAAGGTGATATTTTGTTATTGATATTATTCATGAAACCGATTTATTTGTACAAACGATTTCGTAACGCCAAACAAATTGATTGTCACTAAGTGAGCCATTTTCCGATTTTTATTTTTTCCATCACGGCTACAAAAAGGCTGTTCGAATGTTTATATTAAAAACTTGACTGTTAAGAAACTGTTAGTATTCTTTATCATAGGTCATAAACAGAAGGTGGCCAAGTGACGAAAATCGATTCCAACGTATGTCGATATTTCAAGAGATCAATGAACCTGTTGTTAGTATGGACCATTTATGCATAATTGGATCACATTTTGTCAATGGTGTTTCAATTTTTCAAACGAACCATTTAGTAAATACCTTGTATGTTGAAGTTTTATTTATGATTTCATTCAGTATAACTGCGGTTAATTACAACGTTTTCAATGTTTTATAAGTGTTATATCTAATGCATTTGGTAGTTTTTTTCATTCATTTAATAAATGAGTATTACATATTATAGATCTGTTTTTACCAGAGATTTCATCTCAAGCCTCAAATTTCGTTATGAGTGTTTATTATTACCTGCGCCGCATAAACATATTCATTACAGAGAGTTGGAGATAACTCCAGACACTTGAAATAAAATGTTTAGTGAAATTTACTCCACATCATCTATTATTCAATCGCCAGAAAGCCTTAGCCCTTAATATTGGTTGTATTTCTGATTGATCATCCGTATTTTGCTTTGGAATAATTGAGTCATTTTATTAATTTACTTGTGTGGTTATAACAGAAAATAGTCATTACTTATAAACATATTCACGAAACGTGTTTATCAGTTATAGTAGGTCACATTTGTAGGTGAATAATTTATGTACTAAACAAAAACAACTAGTCAGTTCTACACATGGGGTGATTAAAAACCGATATACAACCATTTATTTATTTTGTTCTGTTGATATTTCATGCAGCAAAGTATCCAATTAACATAGACCTTAAAATAGTCTGTTAATTATTCAAATTTCTATGGTTTATACATATAACCGTATAAGGGATTCTTAACACATGGACAAAATGAGTTTCTCTGACTTCTCAGTACAAGTAATACACACTTTCAATGAAGGGTGATGAAACTGAAGATTATAAAGTGAATTTTAGTAAATAATTAGATTTATTCCATTCTTTCATACAGTTTAATATTTATTTATTTATTTGAACACATGAATATTGGTACAAGGAGGCAACAAATACATATGCACCACAAAATAACAATGAAGTTGTGAAGAGATAGAGAATGTAAAGTGTGTACTATAGTAAGAAGAGCAACGAACAGAAGTGAGTGTATGAGAGTGAAACAATAATGATAATAATGGGAGAAACAGTTCAGTTAAGAAAAATATAACCAGAAATTCTTTCAATTAAAGAAGTGACGTTCGCTTTCATAATAGAAGTAAAAGGAATTTACAGCGGGACCGCCACTGGCTTCTATTTTGAGACATGTCTGATAACGTTTCTAACCACTGTTTCATATCATCTTTAGGACCCCAACAAGGGAGTCGTGGAGGTCCAACACAAGGCAGTTCTGTATAGTTTTCTTTCATACCACGACACTATATCATGCACTGACCACCTCTCCGCTTTTTCCAAACAGTCTCAGCATCTGCAAATAATGCACGACGTGGAATTGTCTGGGACGGCATTCGTAGAACACGTCCAAGTTACCGAAGAAGATGTTTCAAGATAGTGACACTAGTTGAATTATCGTCGCTGTACCCGAACACAATGTTGAACCCCTGAATTACTAACATCTTGTTGCCACTGGATGTCAGCAATCCCCTGGCGATAAGAGTGAATGTGTAGCCTAGGTATCGTCGCACAGTAAGACAATATCATCTTCATACTCAGGGTTGAAAAGTCTTTCTCCGGGCAACAGATCCACACCACCATTACCTACATCTATCTAAACTGTTTCCAGAACGTCATCGATAGCAAAGTTGAAGAGGAAAGGTGAGATTAGGCAACCCTGCCTAAATGGAACAGTAGATAGAGGTGCTTGTATGTCTTCACTGTACCTGAGGTGTTTGTATACAGGGCTTTACAAGATCTACTCAAAGAGGAAACTACTATGGAGGACAAGCGGGAAGGGATCAATGAAACACTAACCTCAGAGTGTCATGAGGTTCTGAAACACAACAAGCATCATCATAAGAAATGGATCCATACCGAAACTCTGAAAAGTATTCAAGAAAGGGAGAACAAGAAGATAACAATTAACAACGATAAAAAAAGAACAGAGCAAGTCAAGGCACTAGCTGAATACGCTGAACCAAACAAGAGAGTCAAGAGGAGCATTAGAGCTGACAAGCATTAACACGTGGAAAATCTGACAGCGACATAGGAAAATAATGCAAAACAAAGAAATATCAAACAACTATATAACACAACGAAGAAACTGACAAAAAATATAGTTAATCAGAGGACCGGTGTCACAGAAGACAAATTACTGTATCTCCATCTTTCTCTCTCTTTTGACGGTTCACTAGATTGTGATGAAGCACCGTATACAATGAACAGCTTGAGTGCAACCAGTTCACTTGATACTTCAGGTAAGTCTTGCTGATGAGTTACTACTAGTTCAAAAACTAGGTCTAGAGTGTCTTCTCGTCTACGTCCAACTGATTATCATAAACGGTTTTATAGAATATGAATAAAAAGAATTAGGAAATATTAATGTGCTTATTAATGTATTTCTATACATACTGAACTATCGAAACACAACTACTGAATTGAAACTATATTAATTACAGTCTTTGTTAAAACGAATTTTTTCTTTTGTTTTCTATCAAATGTAGTTATTGATGCTTATTATAATATTTCTGGGTTACTATTCTGTGTTTAAAATTACTTTTCTTAGATTTAAGGATTTTGCCGATTTATGGCCATCGAAATTTACCAATAAGACAAATGGTATTAGTCCGAGACGTTGGTTATTGGTATGTAATCCAGGCCTAACCGATCTTATTCGAAACACCATACAATCTGACGACTGGGTAAAAAATCTTATAATGTTGAATCGATTGAAAGAAAAATTAAATGATGCGAATTTTCGAAATCGCCTTATATTAATTAAACAAGACAATAAAAATCGATTTGTTGCTTATATGCAACAGCATAGAAATATTCAATTAAATCCAAGTTCCATTTTTGATGTTCATGTACGTAAGTTAATAATTTCATTGAAATAATACTATTTGAGTGCCAACTTAAAAATAGTTTTCTTTTATCAAAAAAAATTAAAGTACACAAGTAGTTATAGATTTTGCGTGAAATGGATCAAGATCGATCACAATCATCTAGGTGCAAATACTCTTTGTATTTCTTTAGATCTTGAAGTTTTTAAAACGTTGTATGGTGTTTTTTAATTCCACGCATCCACTTTTTCTCCTCAAATCATATATCTTATTCTTCATTTTTTCTATTGCTTTCGTTACTATTACCCGTTCTACCATTATTCTGGTAATTTCATCTCGCTATTCTGTGAAAACTTGAACCGATGCACACACTTATGTCCGGTTTCATGTGATTGACTGACTAACAAACGTAGTTATACTGAGCAAGAGAAAACTATAGCAAGTTATAGGTACTGATTTTTTATTTATGTTTTAATAAAATCGTTAGATCATAGGCTTTCATTGTTAAATATTACTTCTAAACAAAAAAATACTTCATGTGACGGAGTATCAAGAGATGAACTTGTTATATCTTGAAAAAGCTGATTTTCTTGATACAACCGCGTATAACTGAGCACTGGAACACCAAACCCTTCCAAGTCGCAATAAGAAGACAGAAGACTAACGAAAGGAATATTATTCCAAACAGTGTCAAACATAGTACAAAATTATCAGGTATTTATAGTTTTTAGTGGGAACGAAATCATCATTACAATCTTCCAATCCGCGTACAGGGGTTATTAGCATTATCCAATGGGGAAGCTACACGTTGGAATTCTAGAACATTCTTCCGACAGGTGATTGGATGGAACGTCTTCGGCTCCTTATGAGCCTCTTACAGCTTCCTCGAGTTCACCGGTGGTCCGTCGTCACACCTCCCCCCTTTAAAGTCCGTTGTGTAAGATTTTTTTCTTGGATCCACCTGAAGCTTGGGTGTCGCATTCCTCTTGCGCTCCATTACTCTCGAGGGTTGTACAGCTTTCTCTCTGCGTCGTTTGTCTTTTCGATATTTGCGCTCATGATGGTTCTTCGGGGATGAATCTACGAGCAATTGAAATGGAAGCCGGTTTTCTGTGACCACTGTACTATCATTTCTTTGCATTTGATTTATATGTCTTATGCATTTCCCGACATCTTTCCGGACTAGGTACAACACATTTCCGATTCGACGTTCTATGACACCTGGTTCCCACTTCTTATTACCTTGGTACGATCTGACAAGTACCTTCTCACCCACCTGGAAGCTACGATTGACCTTACGATTTTCATTCGTGGGTTTATTTGTCTTTCTGGGCGGCAACATACTGTTAAAAACTGTCCGGATTTTTCTTCCGAACATACACTCGGCCGGAGACTTTCCTTCTGGTACTGCCGGATTAGGGGTAACTCTGTAAGACATCAAGAACTTATTAATCACTTGTTCCGGGACACCCTCACCTCCCCCTTTGACCAGAGCTCTTTTAATTGTATCCACGAATCTTTCTGCCTGGCCATTCGACTGAGGATGGTATGGAGGAGATTGTAGATGCAATATGCCATTCTCGTTGCAGAAGCGTTTGAAGGCGGATGACATGAACTGAGTACCATTGTCGGTCACTAAGATCTCTGGAACCCCAAAACAGGCAAACAATCCTGACAATCTTCTTATGGTACTCTCTGAAGTCGTATTCGGCATGTCATAAACTTCCGGCCATTTTGTGAAAGCATCTACAACAACTAAGTAATTCCTGCCTTGTATCGGTCCGGCGAAATCAGCATGTATTCTTTGCCAAGGCCCGTCCGGTTTAGGCCATGGTTGTGGCTCAGCTCTCGTTGGGTTCTTTGCAGCCTCTTGACAAGACCAACAGCTGCGACATTTTTGCTCTATCTCATGGTCCATTGACGGCCAGTAAGCATAGCTACGAGCTAGTGACTTCATTTTACTTATCCCTGGATGCCCGCTGTGGAACTGTTTAATGGCTTGGTGTCGAAGATTTCTGGGGATAACGATACGATGGCCAAACATTATACATGAATCGACAACTGTTAATGACTCTCGTCGACGAAAGTATTGTAAGAGTTCTCCGTGTAATCTAGATGAAGGCCATTTATTGAGTATGCAATGGCGAACAATCTTTAATACATTATCCTTCTTGCTGGCCTCTTTAATGGCTTCAAATGTGACCGGGAGTCCGGAAACTGCGTCTGACAATATTTTGTGAACCTCGGCCTCGACATCTATAGCAGCTACAAGCACCTCTTCTTCTTGTTTTTCATGCAGACCAATCAATCTTGAGAGTGCATCTGCCTGTCCGAAATCCGTTGTTGGTTGATACTTTATCTTAAAATCATAACCCAGCAGTGTGGTAGCCCATCTCTGTAGCCGGTTTGCTGTATATACCGGGATGCCTTTTTTAGATCCAAAAACTGTCAGTAAAGGTTTATGGTCTGTAAGTAAGGTGAACTGCCTACCAAACAACATCTTGTGGAACTTTTTTACAGCAAATATAATCGCGAGGGCTTCCTTCTCTATTTGACTGTAGTTTCTTTCAGTCATAGTCAGTGATCTCGCAGCGTGAGCGATTGCTTTCTCAGAACCGTCAGGGTAGGCATGTGAAATTACTGCTCCAATTCCGTAGTTCGACGCATCGGCTGCGACTATAATTGGAAGATCGGGATCATAGTGTGTAAGGAGAAGGTTCGATGACAGAAGCTGCTTCAGTTTTAGGAATGCTTCTTGACATTCAGTTGACCAGAACCATTTAGTATCCTTTTTCAATAAGCAATTAAGAGGAGCACGATGGCGATGCAGATCTGGCAGAAAAACTCCATAATGACTAACCATTCCCAGGAAAGAACGTAAAGTTGACACATCCGTGGGTGGAGGCATGGACTTAATGGCTTCGACATTTTCAGGATCAGGTTTTCTCCCGTTTTTATCAATTATGAATCCCAAATACCGGACTTGCTCCATGTAAAAATCACATTTTTCGGCACGCAGCCTGAATCCATAATCTGCTATGCGTCTGAGAACCGTATCCACCTTATTCTCTAAATCAGCATAGTCTGTACCCATGATCAATATATCATCGAGATAAGCCGCGGTACCAGGAATGTCTTGTAACATAGTGTCCATAACTTGTTGGAAGATTGAAGGGGCGGTCTTTACTCCAAAAGGAAGTCGGTTATATCGGAACAATCCCTTGTGAGTGTTTATTGTCAAGTAATGCTTACACTCATCCGCTACCGGAATCTGTAGATAAGCGTCTGATAGGTCTAATTTCGCAAAATACTTACCCCCATTCAGTTTCGCAAATAAATCCTCTGGTACCGGCAATGGGTATTGATGGGCTTCAAGCGCTTCATTTAATCCAGTTGAATAATCTGCACATAACCGGATACTTCCATTAGGCTTTTTAACAATCACTATTGGAGCTGCCCAATCAGAGAAGTTTACTGGTTCGATTATTCCACTTCTTTGCAGACGCTCTAATTCTTGTTCAACAATAGGTAGCGCTGCATAAGGTACCGGACGTTTTGGTCTGAAGACGGGGGTGACTCCCGGTTTAAGAATCAATAGTGCTTTAACCTTTTTGCATTCCCCCAACTCTTCCATAAACACTTGACTGTGTCTTTCCAATACAACACTCTTCAGATCCTTTTCCACCGGTTTACTGGTTCTCACTGCGCTGCATATGTGGTTAATGGGGTGATTTGCTAATTGAAGTGCTTCTATCAAGTCTAGACCTAGCAAATCTAGTCCTGGATTCTGTGTAAGATATAAAGTTGCATTCGTTTTCGCATTTCCTTTCGAGACTGTACAACAAACCTCTCCAACAATATTTAGTTTTCCTCCAGATGCGCTGTGAGCTAACTGGGTCGTTGGGAGCACCTGTGGTTTACCGATAAGATTCCAAGTTCTCCGACTAATAAGTGTGATGTCAGAAGCGGTGTCGAGTTGCAGGCGGGCACGCTTTTTATTTATATCCAAGTTACATACTTTCTTTGGCGGCAAATTCGTGCTCGATTATGTGATACCAATATTTTGTTAGTTCGAGCACTAAATCTGTATTTCTTCGAGTAGGGTTTCAAAGAATGTCGTTTATGGGTTCTTTTTCTGCAGCAGTTTTCTTTATGTCCCTTGCGATGACACTTGCTACAACAATGTTCTTTATATGGGCAGAACCTTTTATAATGCCAACCACCGCAAGACCAACATGGAGATGAAGGCTGATTATCTGTGTGCGATACCTTTCTTGAGCGAGAATCGTTCTTTCCGCTTACAGCACGAACGTATGGCAACTGGCCATTATTTTCGACCATCGAAGTGTCATGCTTTAGGTTTACCAATCTCTGGCACTCTGCGGTTACTTCTTGTAGTGTCATATTCGGACATTGTTCAATTTTACTCAAAATTCTAGTTCTAATATCGGCATCTTCGGGAGATTGGAGGCTGCACACAAATACGAGACACTTAAACTGGTCTTCTGTCATTGCTGATAGTTTGAAGCGCTCACATTCACGGTTTACTAGACCCGCATGCTTCACCCAGTCATCATCACCTGCTTTTGTCATCTTGAGACATTGATAACGAATATTAAACAAGGATGACTGTTCAGCAAAGATTTGCGACAAAATTTCAATCGTTGCATCGAAAGAAAAATCTCTTGGATTCTTTGGAAGGATAAAGTTACTGTAACGTTCATGTTCAACAGTTCCAAGTTTTCGCAAGAGTATTCTGACCTTAGCGGCGTCATCAAGTTTTTTGAGGTCGACCTTGAACAAATCTTCATATTTCTTGAACCAAGTTTCAAAAGTAATGCCAGCTGAACCATCAAAATTAAATTCATGGATAGAATTAACAATCTGGTCAACATGAGATTTGAAGGGATCATCTGTAACTTCTTTTTGATCCAGGTTCATTTTCTGAGTTAGCATCTCTAGCATGCGCATCTGGAACTTTTCTTGACGTTCCAATAAGGCTTCAAATTGTTCCAAGGTAAATGACATATTGATACAATAACCCGTCGCCAGATGTTATATCTTGAAAAAGCTGATTTTCTTGATACAACCGCGTATAACTGAGCACTGGAACACCAAACCCTTCCAAGTCGCAATAAGAAGACAGAAGACTAACGAAAGGAATATTATTCCAAACAGTGTCAAACATAGTACAAAATTATCAGGTATTTATAGTTTTTAGTGGGAACGAAATCATCATTACAATCTTCCAATCCGCGTACAGGGGTTATTAGCATTATCCAATGGGGAAGCTACACGTTGGAATTCTAGAACATTCTTCCGACAGGTGATTGGATGGAACGTCTTCGGCTCCTTATGAGCCTCTTACAGCTTCCTCGAGTTCACCGGTGGTCCGTCGTCACAGAACTATTCTAAACAAAATGACCATGTTCTAATGAGCTACAACAATTGAATTAGTAAATAAATTTATAGATTTAGTGAAACTTGACACTGTTTCTTTTGTTAACTCATTATTAGTTTTTTGAAAAGCATAGGTGTCTTTCTTATGGTATTCCTTGAACTTTGTTATAAGATCATCATAAACGTTTCCAGTAATTTAGTTTCAAACCAGGCATTTTCTAAGTACTGTCGATAACATCACTTTAGTTTTTGTTTCAAAGTTATGTATTGTTAGGGACTATAATGAATGTGTATTTCTCCGAAGTAATTCAAGAGCAATTATCCATTCCTTTTAGATTTCTTTTCAGTGAATTATTTCAGCTTTCTCAAACGAGTATTTAATTAAACTTTGTATAATTTGTCGTGTAATTAGGCTCAAAAGATGGATATATTGTCCTAATGAAGTTGGTTTTTCGGTAAACAACTCTTTCTTATTCCATGTGTTATTTGCCTAGTTTGGAAAAAGGATTACTTTTATAGAATTGCTCATAACTTTGCGATAAAAATCTGGCATCGTATAGTTTCAATTGGTTCTTTTTTTAATAAAACCATTAACTCTAATTTCCTTGAAAAACCTTGGACCAGATTGCCAGGCGAAACGTTGGATTTACTTCAAATTCTTTCTCTGAGATTTTACAAATACATTCTTCCTCTTTAATGTCTCACATTAACTGGGCACCCAAATACTGTGAAACTATTCGATTAAATTTAGACGAAAATTCCTATTTATTATTCTGCACTCGCATCAAATTATCGAAGAAAATGTACAATTGCCTTAACTCTAATGATGATAAACCAATAATAATTATTTTCTCAAAGGCCTTTGTAGAGGTTTTTGATTTTTGTAGTCTAAACTTATCTTAGTAAAGCACTCATGAAAAACTATGAAGTCCTGAACAATTGTCTTGTTCTCATATGGAACTCCTCACTAGTGCATAGCTACGACCCCACACACAGGAATGGGATCCAGGAACTAAAGTCTCGTTAGCGAACACTTAACCTCCAGACCATTGAACCGGCATCCAGTGGTATACATATCTAACTTCAACCAACCCGAGATGTTACAGAACTCCCACTCATTATTTGCAGCACATAACTACTTCAAATCTTACATGGTTGAACTCCAGTGGTCACGGCTTCACACTAAAACTCCAGGAGCTGTGTCTTGAAGCTCATCACTAGTGAATTATTTCAAAAGTTTTTTTGAAGCCGTGACCAATGGAGTTCAACAATGTAAGATGTGAGGTAGTTATTTACTATCCGTGATGTAAATGTTTACCTAATTATTTCATTGCTAGTTCTTTTGATTATGTTCTAAATAGACGTCTAAATACAAAATAGTGATTATTTATTACCGTTTACAGGCAAAACGTAAATTTTTTTAGCTACATAATCAAAACCAAGTGCTCTTTTTTGAAGTGTTTATCTAGAGACTTTTCTTTCTTACTCAAATAACTATATTATTTAAATGTTTGCTCAAAATCTTTTCATTTTATCAAAAATAGGTAAAACGTGTTCTAGAATACAAGCGTCCACTCCTACCATGTTTATATGCTATAACTATGTATAACCGTTTAAGAGCAAATCCTGAAATGAAAATGTGTCCTAGGACAATTATTATTGGTGGTAAAGCTGCGCCTGGATACCACATGGCTAAAATGATTATAAAACTAATTAATTCAGTTGCAAGAATAATTGATTTCGATCCAATTACAACGGGTAAACTTAAAGTATGTTTAACCTTTTGTAGTTTGAAATAAATATATTTTTACTTGCTTAAAATTAAAAATAGGGTTATTAGTCACTGAAACGCCAACTGTAATGAACCATTTTGAATGTTTTAAAAGATATCTTTAGACATGTGTGCTACTTTTATTGACATAAGTACTACATGATGTTAGTCGTGAAAAGAAAGTCTGGCAGCAGAGAGACAAGAGGATCGAACAGTAAAGAATGGAAACAGAATGCAATTTTCGTGAAAATCCAAGTCTGAATCATTAAGAGACAATCGATAGACATTTTGCAAGTTAAGCATTTACTTTACTGTAACTGTGGCCTGCTTGAGTATCTGGGCTACCTGTTTCTGCCATCAAATTATTTCAACAAGTTATCTGTTTTTTCGTTTTGTTTTAACGTCTAATCATGTCCATTTTTCACGTAACCTATACAAGCGCGTTTATGAATGGCCTACGAACTTCCGCTTAATAAGTTACAAAAAAGTGCTATATAAAACGACGTGGTGTTTGGCAATATGCGTTAAATAGTATAAGCATTAACCGCATGTCGATTCCCGAGCTGCAAAATTCCAACTGCCAATCACTTATCAACAAAGTGAACTATCTTCAATTCCTACTAAGTCAAAATATGTATCGTAATTGTGGTGTCATCACAATTCAAGAATCTTGATTAAATAATTTACAGGACGACTGCCTAGTATCACTACGTGATTTCGAAGTTTATCGTCAGGATCGACCAAACAATGAAAAGAGGTTTGGCTGCGGTGTAGCTACGTTTGTAAATGTGAACTGGTGTCGATCTTCGTTTGCCTGTTTCAAGTTTTTTAAATGGCTTTATCGACTGTCTAACTCTAAGAATCGTCAAAAGCATTTGAACAAATACAAATATGTTCAAGTTATCAATATCTACGTGACTCCAGACTGCACATCATCTGCGCTATCTGTTTTCGCTGATGAATTCACTGAGTTTGCTGTTACTGCCTTCAGTGATTCACTTTCAGTTGTATGTGGTAATTTCAGTTCATGTGACTGTAGCTTCCTTACGTCACTAGGTCACCAAAATGTAGTAGATTTTACCACTCGTTTGGATGCTCATTTAGACTTCGTTTTCATCAATGATGTGGGCATATATGTGACTCGTAAACGTGCTCCATTGTCTAGCTCGGATCACTGTATAACTCGTGTTCTATCTAAAGTATATGGAAAGCATGGGAAGAGTACACTCTTACATCAAACCAAGAAAGTCAAATATGGGAATTACTGAGAAAGTATCCGTAATCTGAAAAACATGCTTCATACGACTAACTGGGAATTATTTACCGATGACTCACTGAAAATCACTACTGATGTTATCACCTGTTACCTTAAATTCTGTTTTGATATTTGTTGTCCCACTGAAACCATTTTTGTAAGTTTGGTAGACTTACATCTTCACAACTAAAACGACTACGGAGGGTAAAAGAAAGAGTGTACAAGGAGAAAAACTAATGAAGTTCGTAAGCTAAATGTTCTGATAAACCTAGAGATTAGACATTTCAACTCTATGTTTACTCAAAAACTCTTGTCTTGCAAAAACTCTCCAAGTATGTGGAAACTCTTTAAAGAACTTACAAGTGACAGACAGATTAGGAGCGATTACCAGCTGAATGTTTGTGACTTAAGTATTTTGTACGTCAGTCATCTGATGTGATGCCCCCTCTATCCACGGGTTTAAATAATAGCTTTGTCCCTACTTTCACTGAAACTGATGTACGAATATGTCTCCAGTCGCTTAATTCATCTCGATGTTTAGGAACTGATGGTATCCCAAACATCCTTTTAAAAAGTGTGCTGACGTCCTATTTTATCCATTCACGACCATCTTTAACAGATCCTTCTCATCTAGTCTCATACCGAAAATGTGGAGAAAGATGAAGATAATTCCTGTACCCAAGAAAGCATCTGGTGATAAGAATGTAAAATTTAGACCTATTGTAACAACTTCACCCTTCCTCAAAACAATGGAAAAATTATCAATATTTCCACTTCAGCCTGCGATAAAAGAGCATATTGATCCGTATCATTTTGTGTACAGATGCAAAAGAAGCACCTTAGACACTGTTGCTGTTACGCATCACAATATAGTGTTCAACTTATAAAAGGGTAAGAAGTATGTTCGATGCACTTTTATGGACTATACTTCAGCTTTTGATTCTATACCAAGAGAACGTTTACTTAACAAGTTAATCAGCGTCAACACTGACAGCTGGATAACCAACTGGCTATGTTCCTACCTCTCTGGAAGGAAACAGTACACTGTATTTGGAGGAAAGTGTTCAGTCTCTACTGTCTCATGAAGGTGTACCACAAGGAGCTGTTCTTTCATCTCTTCTTTTCTCTTTTTTCTGCATGATCTGCTATCTTCCACAGAAAACACTTTTGTGAAATATGCGGTTGATCTCACTGTATGTGTGCCTATCTCTTCCTCTTTACATCCCATTGAAATGAATGAGTTTTTGTCTCGTATTGATTGTTGGTCTGTTGGTAACGGTCTTATACTTAATCCGTCTAAATGTCAAGCTGTTAACTTTAGCATGAGACATGAATGGCATCTAAACACCATTTTGAGATCCCATAATGCTTGTACCATTGGAGACTCCTAGATAAACACAGTGTCGAAGGTCAATTATCTTGGTGTTACCTTTTCCACTGATCTCTCTTGATCTTCTCACATTTTATTGTTATCGAAGAAGGTTTTCCGTCTGACTTACTACATAAAGAGATTTCATGCTCTTGGGATTACTCGTCATTTACTCTTACAATTTGTCAATTATTGCATATTACCTATTATTCTTTACTGTTCTCCATTATTCTTTCCCGGGCATTTGGGAAAAGACTTTGCTTTATTGCGAAGAGTGCTGAATGCAGTTCGCAAGGTGTGTGGTGAACCTTTCGAGGTCACAATTAGTATGGTTGTGGATAGACATCTAAAGTCATGCAAACTCCTGGCAGGTGTTATTTTATCAGATGCTAACCATCCCCTTCACTCTTATCTTTCTCCTTGTATATCTTCTGGTAGAACGGGACGTAATTACATTAAAATCCATGCACGCAAGCAAAAGTATGAAAGTTCTATAATACCTTACCTAGCAAATATACTCGGTGACGAACAGGTTATTAAAGTTAACCTAGTCAATAAACTGCATTCTTAATATGTCCCTAATTTGAAAAGTTGTACAGTTTTTCGGTTTTTTTAAACCTTTTTTCCTCTTTTTGACTTTGTTTCTGTTTTTTTGTGTAAGAAAATTGTTGAAATACCCTGTGCTGAGAACTCTGTATTGTACCAAAATATATTATTGAATAAAGCCATTAATAATAATAATACTTTATGATTGTTTGATTTTATTAACAAGTCTCGTAATTTTGTGTTAAATACATCCGATTGTCCCCACTGGTGTTCTTGTTCACTACACTACCTGAGATATGTTATCTACTTATACTACACGCAGTGATAACTATCACCACTTACTTAGTTCTAAGAAAGATGTGAATAATATATATCCGATTTTTGTACTACCTTGCGTGTCAGTTGTCCTAAAATGGTTTATTTAAGCATTTGGTCCAGTTAAGATTTACAAATGATCTCTTATTCTTTTGCCAAATTCCATTTATGATTTGTTTTATTCATAACCAATCAGATTGTGAACGATATTTTAATTTATGAAAATTCACGATTGATGTTGGTCAGTATTAAGACTTTAAAAAATAATGTAGTTTACATAACTATCAAACCATAGAACTGTAATCCATCGAAACTTAATGTAACCAGGGATTGATCGGGAAATGCATGGCTGATTGGTCTTATGTACAATGGTAAATAAAAGTAAGAAAATTTTAACGGCAAGAATATAATACAGGGACGAGGTTAAAAAAAACTGCGACAACTTTTAGCTAGGTGTTAACGTCTTAGAAAGTGGCTATTGTAAACTTGTAGGATGTCAATAAAAAATATTAATATTACCAATGATACACAGATTCTAAATAATTAATGAATTTACTAAAGTATTCTACAGGTTTTTATATCTGTTAATAGAAAGACAATGATTTCGAAATTCGTTCATATGAATATAGAAAACCCAAATTCTCGAGCCTTTACAGAGACCCGAAAGATTTTTTAGGAGTTCCTACATTGTTCTCTTTTAGGGTTAGGATTAATTGTTCATGGTTGAGATTAATGGTTAGTACTGAGGATTTGAAGTTGAAATTAATGAGTTTAAGTTCAGGGTTTTTTTGTTAGGGGTATAACTAAAAATTCAAAACTTTAAAGTTTGGGTTAGGATCGAGACTACTTGTTCAAACACTGGTTGATTCATGTGTTTTATACAATCTACGTTAAAGAAACTGAGGACTGGGTACATTCAATACTTTCATTTTCCATCATTAATGAAAAAAAAGTTTTATATCATTTTAAGTTTCTTAACCACTATACAAGGCTTCTCGTTTTACCTAATGTACGATAAAAGTCCACTAAAACTCAACTGTCGTTGTCTCGATTCTGATATCATCGTCTTTATACTATACTTTTACCCATGTAAATGACTGCATTTCAAACTGTCAATCCTTAAATAACGTACATCCTAATCATTAGGACAAGGTTATGTGATAAAATTTTGTAATGCACTTTTTTCGTAGATACTTGAAATTTTAGATATATTATTATGAAACAGTAGTTGTAATTTTTTCACCATATAGACTGATATGTTCATATTAATTCTAAGAAAGCATATGACTGTGTAGTAAACTTTGTTGACCTTGCGACATTTAGTAAACCAACTTCATGTCATAAATTAATTGAGCCTATTCAGTTTAAGTTTGACAAGAATCTGATTAATTATCAATATGTAATGAATCTCTGAATTTCGATGTATCTTGTATAGTTTGAACTATCTATGTTTTGGTGGTCTAATAAATCACTATGTTTTCACACTTAAAATGCCTTTGCATCAAACCTTATATTGTTTGTCTATGATTTCGAATTGTATGCTGCTTATTGATACGCACTAATTGTTTGTAGTCACATCCAAATTCACGTTTATAAATTGTAAACGGGTAATGATTATTGACTAACTGGTTCTGTGATACGGTTACAGAAAAATTAGGATTTTTGTGTATTTGCGAATAAAATTTCCTTAATGGTATGGTATATAGAAGTAATCTTGGGCGATTCTTAAAGCCAACTTCTATCCAATGAATAAAGACTACAAAATTCATAGTATTTAGTTACTGAAGTACTGAGATTTACTAAGATTTTAGTGATTGTAGGATGTTTATATTTTTTTAAAGATATCACTAAATAACCTAATCATTCTAAGTACAAAATTTATTCACATTAAAGGCTTTTTTGTATTTTCTGATAATTATAAAACAGTTTTATGGCAAAATCTTGATCGTCTACAAAAATTTTATTGACTAATTCGTTTGAGAGTTAGGGACATCAAGTTATAAGGCAGCAATATGAGAAAGTTGTATGTAAAAATTGTTAATAATTTTAGCATTCCTACATCCACGTTCATCGATTCATATGATGGACTAATAGTAAAATTATTTCCTTACAAGTTTATTGTAGATTTTAAAAAACTTATGAACCTAAAAATGTGAACTCTTCATACATTTAATGATTTGTATTCTATACTGATAAAAATTACATTTTCTAACCATTTTCAAAATTGCTAACCATTTTTACATCACAGCACACAACATGAACTGATCTCAGCTAGACCACTGTTGAAAACCAGGGAGCAGTAGACGACCATTTCATACTAGGGTGGGACTCCTCAAGAGTGCGCATTCACAACCCTGCAAGAACGAATCGAAACCAGGACATACGATCTCGTGCGCAAACGCTTAACCTATAGAATACTGCGCCAGTATCCAACAGTAGTGATGTCTATTTTTAGTCAGTTCACGATATTACACAATCCTCACCCATTGCGTGTGGTGGATGACTAGCTCTAACCCGACAATTATAATAACCATGTGCTCACTTGTAACATACTGCTGGAAAGTCCCATACCAGGCGGAAACGGCCATCTGGGGCTTTCAGGTTTTAGATAGTGGTCTAACCAAGACTGTATTTGAATTGCAAAAGTTTTATAATCCTCATAAATCCCCTTTATTAGTAATTTTATACCAATCTTTTCATTACTATCTTTTGCGTGATCAACAATAAATTCCTTTCACTCATAAATCTCCGAAGAATCTGATTACCCTGTTTCCATGAAAAAACTAAAATTTCAAACTAATAACTAAGTTAGAGAGTGGTCAAGGTGTTTTCATAAAATAAATGTTATTTTTACAAGAAAATGATAATGGAGGAAATATAGTGTATTTAATTGTAAAGTTTCTACTTTTGTAGGAAATATTACAATAACTTAGTTTGCTATCTCGTTAGTTTTCTTTTCAAGAGTTGTAGTAGCTCAAAATTACTTTTTATTGCTCATGAGAATCCATTATTTATCAAGAAAAAAAACTGATATTATAATAAGTGTTGTGAATAAAGGATTTTTAAATTACTAAATTGTTTCGAAATTATTCACTGTGACAGCAGTGTCTAATGTTTCAATCTATGATAACTGTTTTAAATATGTTTCCCATGGCATATTTCTAATATAAGTATTAATATATATAATATTTTTAAGTTGACTATAAGCTCTCTTGTCTATACATTGTTTTATTAGCTTATATTTTTACGAAACTATCGGGTCAGTTTAGCTGAACGTATTATACCCGCAACAGATTTATCTGAACAAATTCCGTGTGTTGGAACAGAAGCATCAGGAACAGGGAATATGAAGTTTATGGTAAATTCTAGATGAAAAAACATTGGTTATAAAGTTTTATATTTAATTTTTATGTATCAGTAAAGTACTTTTTGGTTTTTAAAATTTTATCTTATATTCTTTGATTTTATTTGGTTAGTGATAGAACTCAGGGTATATGTTTCCATTGTATTTGGTATTACTCAGCTGATTTTACGTGCAGTACCTCACCTTTCGAATGGTTCATATCTCTTCAGCAACTGATCATTTTATATATGAGAGCCAAGAACAGGAATGTACATACCCTTACGACAACAACAGAAGGGTTTTCAATGTACGTGAATTTGATCGGTTTCATAAATTTAAATGAAACAAAAGTGGCGAAATTTTCAGAAAATAATCAATTTATTGTATTTTCACGTATTCATCTCATCTGCATGTGAACTAATAAATGTCCTAAAAATGTAGAAGAAAAGGTTTAACGGACTCGATTTTAATTATAGTTCAAAGAAGATAAGAAGCCATTCACGTTGCTTAATTGTTTTTGCTTCATTAAATAAAGATTAACCTTACGACCGGACATTATAACTTGTAAAGTTAGAGAATGCAAAATAATTTGTCTCACTATACAGACTTTGTCATTTACACATTGTTTACATTTGCAAAGCAAATGGTTGTCCTGAATTATTCAAAATAAATGAATTCCTTTAAAAGAAATTTCCACCCATAGTCTACAAATTGTCGAATGGGATTAAAAAAAATTCTATTTTACTGCGTTAACTTTCTAGATTCTTTAGAACTCATAAGCTACCTCCTTATCTTCTGAGTATTCGTCAAATCACATTGTCTTATATAGAATCGTCAACAACAAACAACCAACGGTCTTTTAGAAATTGATAATTGGTTTGTTCATTTCGTTGGAAACCTTAACGCTCTATATTGATTAGAATTTATCGATTAGCTGCATCATATACAGCCCCAAGTAGATTAAATAAAGTCATAATACTTATCAGGTCCTTAATGAAAGATAAAATACTGAATTTTTTAACACTTCAATCAAATTATCTAACAAGGTGTTTGGAGTTCAATCTGAAGAACTGTATTGTGTCATAACCTTGAAATTCCTTACCAGGATAATTAATACAGAAGCCCAACTAAAAATGTTTCCTAACTAACTCTCTGTTATGAGGTCGATAAATAAAGAAACCGTACGGCTAGTTCATGTTAAACTTGATTGATAACAGTGTTCAGTTTCATAACACACATATTCTTCAGTTCAAAACCATGACAAAAGATAATTGCTATGTCATACTAAGAATTTGAAATAATAACACCACTGTGTGGTGATGATGATTTGATTTTATTATACACAGAAGTTAATATTGATTCTGTTGTAATACATTTGAATTCAAAGATAACACTTCACACATGGACAAAACTGAGACATTAGGTAGTGGAGTAAGTGAATAACTTCAAAGGTTACTACAGAAGAATTTCATCGACTAAATGATTTACGACAATCTTAAAGGATGGACCATAAGTATCCTATTTATATTTAGCATAGCCAAAGTGGGCAAACTAATTACCTCTATGATAAACAACCAACAGACTTGGGTCGACTTGTAAAACGTCCACTTTCAGTGAATAAAAGATGTCTCTCGAGTTTGCTTAATTGGTTGACTTACTAAATATCGCTTTAAACAACTTATATTTCCTTACGAATTTTACTAAAACTTTTAGAGACAAACTGTTCTTTAGCATCGCCTTAATCTTCCTTCGGTTTGCTTAAAGTATTGGAAAAAAGATGATAAATCAATACAACGCTGGAAAAATCTTTGACTGATTAGATAAATTATAACCTTAAATTTAAACCGTACATGTCGCTATGGAGGGAGTAAGTTAACCAATATTTGGTGTAAGTGAAATGGCAAATCAGATTTAATTGCGATATATATAGTTAGTGAAAATGTGATTTAAATTGTATGATTATAAGGATAAGTTTATTAGAAATACGTTTTAAATCAATGGATTACATTTGGGATAGTTTGATCATATGGCAAACTGTTAAGACATGAAAAATGAAGGGTCATAATAGACAAACGGGAATTTAAAAAACATGAACAATAAATCAAACCATGAATCCCTGTGAATAGATGTAAATTGAGATAAATGGGTGTCGAATGCTCTCCTTATTTTCAATGATTATCCAGATGACATCTCTGTATAGTGAAAAGTATTATTGAAATAATGATTTAGTGACACAGTGACATCGGATACTTGTTTATTCAGTAAAATTCACATAACACATCGTTCAATATACTGAAATAGTAAAATGAACAAATAAATATTAGGTAGGTTAGAATTATGTTGTTATAACTTCTAGTTTCATTTAATCGATACAGAATTATTAATTTCATGAACCGATTTCACTGAAACAAGTTGTGACTTTGAGGCGCAAAATTACTCAGTCAGTAACTACGTAGAACTTCGTACGTACATACATCAGTTCGAGTTGCCACACCACATTAGCAGAGCGATGCAGTGGTCGATTCAAATCCCGTAGTGGTAGAGGTAATAAGAGTATAAGCAGGAATCGGGAAGATTAGTGTTTGGAGATGTTACTTAAAGAGTATAATACAGTGAAATAAATTTGAGAGGAGAAAAAAAAGACAAGGAGGAATAAGGAGATCAAAATTTGGGAGAACACAAAGAGTATATGCACCTGCGCCATTGCAAACGATTTTGAGCCATGTCATTCAGGGTCTCTAACCATCGGTTGCTATCATCTCGCGGTCCCCAACCAGGTAGTCTACACCTACCAACATGACTCAGTCCACTTGTCAGTGACTTCATGGACTTGTGCCATGTTTTGGTCTGGCCGCCCCTAGCTTTCTTCCAACCTACTCCTATACCACTAAACATCGCACATCGAGGCAGTCGATCGTTGGGCATGCGTAACACGTGTCCAAGCCATCTTAACTGATGAAGTTTCACTACTTCATCAATTGATTTGCCATCCTTAACTAGTACCCGTTTCCTAACAACTGCATTACTTACTCGACGGTCCCATGAGATACGAGCAATATTTCGAAGACACCTATGACCAAATACTAGTAACCTACGAATATCCTCTACTCTTACCGGCCATTTTTCACTGCCATAAAGTAGGACGGAAAGAACTGATGCGCAGTAAACCCGTCCTTTGGTTGATAGACGGATATCTCGCCTACGCCATAAATGACGCAAGTTGTTAAAAGCTAGTCGAGCCTTCTGTATCCGTGCTGAGATTTCGTCACACACTAGACCACAAGGGCTGATGAGATTTCCAAGATAAGTGAAGCGGTTGACACTCAATTAATTCACTCCCTATCATTAGTTTTGGTGTCGATGCAACCCAATCCTGAAGCAACATTTTGCATTTCGAGGGGGAGAATCGCATCCCGAACATGCTAGCATTGTTGCTTAGAGTGGTCAGAAGACTGGATTTTGTCAGCAACTTCACCAAATAGAACTGTCATCGGCATACTCTAAGTCAACAAGTGAATCTCCCGGTAAAAGTTCAACCCTTGGAAATCTAGATGAGGGAACTGTCATCTCTAAAAGCACGTCAAAAACAAAGTTGAACAAGAATGGAGGGAGTGGAAAGCCCTGACGCACACCACTTGAGGTAATCAATTCTGATGACAGTTCGTCATAAGCTCTCACTCGACCAGTTGTGTCCGAGTAGGGAGCCTGTGTAAGGTTAATGTACTTCTTTAGTACTCCTTTAAGTGACAAACACTGTCATAGAACCTCATGATCAACAGAGTCGAATGCCGCCTTAAGGTCGAGAAATACTACCATTGTGGGGCGTCTGAATGTGTGTCTGTGTTCTAGAACCTGACGTAGTGTGAATATCTGATCTATACAACCACGTCCAGGTCGAAAACCGGCCTGGTTTTCTCTAATCTGCTCTTCACGAGCTTTGATTAGGCGTCGAAGTATTATTGAAGCTAATATTTTAGACACTATATTAGTCAAACTGATTCCTCTGTGATTGTCACAAGAGGACTTTTGTCCTTTCTTATAGACTGGCACAATCAGTGATTGAGACCAGTCAGATGGGATTACGTCCAGTTCCCAAATTCTACCTAAGACCTCAGTTAATCTCACTGCTAATACTGGACCACCATCCTTAAAAATCTCAGAAGTAAACCTGTCAGGGCTTGCTGCTCTCCCTCGCTTCAGATTTCCTATGACTCTTTCAATATAGCCAATATAGCTCGGTTGGGTCATCACGATAGGCAAGCCCGACCACCGCGTCAAGGTAGCAGCTTCGGTCGGGCGCAAAATTACTAGTGTTTAAAGAATAGTTTTTCTAGTAGTACGCTAATTGTTTAGCTATAAATTTTCATCAGTTTTCTAGTCTTTGGTATATATATATAACAGCATTTTACTACCACATAGTAGATGGAATCCAGAACCTTCAGCTCTCGCTCTCTAGCGGTTGACCACTAGATTCTTCGATTTTTTCTTTTTAAAGTAATGTTAAACTAAGCCTTCTAGTGTACGTTTTTATGTCTCCATAACTTCTTCATTCTCAGTGTTCTCTTGTTTTTTTCGTATTACTAATTGCTCATCTATTTTTTTGTTTCACATTTTTAACTAGTTGAACGGTGCATTAACTATTGGAACGATGGATGGGTCAAATATTGAAATATTTCAAGAAGTTGGTCACTCAAATGCATTTGTCTTTGGTCGTACTATTGAAGAAGTCAATTATTTGCGGAAAACAGGGCAAGTCAATGACGCTATAAATCTTACTTTTTTTAGTAAAGACCTTTTATTAGTAATCAGAAGAATTAAATTATAAGGAAAAAATTATCATTTAATACGCGTTCAAGTTAATAGAATAGACTTGACATACACTTTTGAGATAGTGGAGATTTTTAGCTCAACTGGATGATTTAGGTGGAGTTTTGTTCTCTGTACTAGATGGGTTTGGTCGTGGAGATTTCACTGTTATTCTGAACAACATCATCAGCACAAACATAAGATTTAAAAAAATGAATTATTCGAATTTCTATCCAATCTATCGATCAATCAGAAAAATCATGGACAAACATATGACCAAGAAACAAATCAGAGGGAAATACAATCAAAGAACAACAGTAACTAATCAAGGTCGAGGTCGACATGACAAGCTGTGAGTCATATGTAGAGAAATTCAAACACTATGTAGTAAGCCCATTTAACTTTTATTATTTGTCAGCTTGTTATAATTTAGATATTTAATCCATTATGTAAAATCACTTGTGAGTTTGATTGAACGCATGTCTGCACATCAATAGTTATTTATTATCTCATTGATTGTAAACACAAAATATCAATAATTTGTCTACAATCAATTAAGACTCAGAATATATATGGATTTTTAACACTCACCCTCACTGGTTTCCCTATGTGCTTGCTCTCTGCGCGCTTGCGTATTTTTACCAATAATTAACAATAAACTATCTCTACAACGGGTGCTCAGGCTTTTGAATAATCTTAAGTAAATTCATAGTACTACTAGGAGATTTAGCCTGTGTCAATACTCAGTTAACGGGATCATGTTTATTGGAGTCAGCTATAGAGATATTAGCCTTTACAACCTCATTTCTACCTGATGTCAATGTTGATGATGTTTTTCAGAATAACAGTGAAAGCTCCGCGACCAAACCATCAAGCTCAGAGAAGAAAACTCCACTTAAACTTACCCTTTGTACACGAAGCTCCAGTTTGTAATCATTATCGCTAAAAATTCAGTCGTTAAAAAGACTGAGCTTCATAACTAAGATCACTGTTAACTATTGAGAAATCAGGATAATAAGGTGAAATTAACAGGCTTCATCTCAAAGTGATAGAAGTTTCAGCGACATCAGTGTGATAAAAAAAGATTAGAAATGAAGAATATTGTTTGATAGGAAGTTTTAAAATGTGGAAATAATAAACACTAAGCAATATTGAAACTCAAAATCTTGGGGTATATAAAAATAATTAATGCATTCACAGAATAGATTTCGAGCCATGACGCTCAACATTTCTTAGTTGTTGATCACGATTATAAGTCATAATTGCTCACTGGAAATCACACATATGAATTTCTAAGAAGCCTTGTGTCGGTAGAATAATTTGAAAATTAAAATATTTCCCATTCAGTACAATTTGTAAGTCAAATTTAAGATCATAGAAGTATGAAGAAGTGCATTTCCATCCAACAGTTTCATAATAATTGATAATTATTATTTCCCATTTTATATGGAAATCGGTTTTATATAAAATGTATGGGGGATTTGTGGAGATTGTAGAATTTCCACATTTTGAATCCCAAAATGACTAGCTTCAAGATGTGATTTCTGGAGTGCTTGTGTGAAGCCATAACCAATAGAATTCAACCGCTTTTTATGTGACAAATTACTACCTCAGGAAATGGATGTGAGTTACTCAATATCGTGGATTGATTGAAATTAAACATTAACACTGTTGAATGCTGGCTCAGTAGTCCAGAGGTTAAGAGTTCACACTCTAGACCGTGGGTCCCGTTTTCAATCCTTAGATTTGGTGTTTTAGATGCGCACTACTGAGAAGTTCCATACTAGGACAATGTGTTCGTCCAGCGCTTTCAGGATTTCAGTGAGGGTCTAGCTTAGATCAGTTTCTGATTCAAACTGTGATAGTATAAGATGATTCGTTTTTCATTATACTCTTAATTCTTACAGTTTTTATTATCTGATTATAATTAGATTACAAACACAAAATTCATTTTTCCACTTTTGGGAGTTTCGTGAAATACTATCTGTTGAATAGTTAGTCAAGTGAAATCTATCATCATACTCGTGGCTTAAAGTGCAAGCATATGATGATTAATGATAATCAATAACTTTTGAATCGAAAACCATTGTTAAATATCACTATAATAACTACCATTTTAAATCAAGACTAGATTTTCTAACCTTATATAGCTCACATATTACGTACGCCTTTTATCCATCGTGAAGGAAAATAGGCCAACCACCAGAATCCTCAATCCAACCTTGTCCTAGACAATTCTTTCCAGTTGCTATTCATTCTTTTAATGTCTGCTTCCGATTTCCAATACACCGTTCTCTGGCCTTCTTTTCCGTTCCCCTTCAGGGTTCCAAGTTAGAGATCGCCTCGTAATGCACTTTGATAATTATCTTAATATGCTTCCTATCCATCTCTATCGTATTTTCCTAATTCCCTACTGAGTTGGAAGCTGGTTTGTTCTCTGCCATAGTAGGGTGTTGCTGATGGTATCCGACCAACGGACATTCAGTATCTTATGTAGACAATTGTCTGAAAATACTTGTACCATTTTGATGATGGTTGTGGTACTTCAAGAGGTTTCAGTTCAGTACAGTAAAACTGTCTTGACGTTCGTATTGAAGATTGTGACTTTGATGTTGACTGACAGTTGGTTTGAGTTCCACATGTTCAAGTGTAGGAATGCTGCCCCTACTTTGCCAATCCTCGCCTTAACATCTGCATCGGATCCTCCTTGTTCATCGATGCTGCTGCTGTCCATGTACGCGAAAGTTTCCACCTGATCCGGAGTTTCTCCATTAAGTGTGATTGGGTTGGCGTTCAACGTGTTGTGTTTGAGGATGTTGCTTTTTCCCTCGTGTATGTCGAGTCCTACTGATTCAGAGGCTGTTGCTACTACTACTTTGGATTACATGCTAATAACTAACGTCTCGGACTAATACCATTTGTCTTATTGGTAAATTTCGATGGCCATAAATCGGCAAAATCCTTAAATCTAAGAAAAGTAATTTTAAACACAGAATAGTAACCTAGAAATATTATAATAAGCATCAATAACTACATTTGATAGAAAACAAAAGAAAAAATTCGTTTTAACAAAGACTGTAATTAATATAGTTTCAATTCAGTAGTTGTGTTTCGATAGTTCAGTATGTATAGAAATACATTAATAAGCACATTAATATTTCCTAATTCTTTTATTCATATTCTATAAAACCGTTTATGATAATCAGTTGGACGTAGACGAGAAGACACTCTAGACCTAGTTTTTGAACTAGTAGTAACTCATCAGCAAGACTTACCTGAAGTATCAAGTGAACTGGTTGCACTCAAGCTGTTCATTGTATACGGTGCTTCATCACAATCTAGTGAACCGTCAAAAGAGAGAGAAAGATGGAGATACAGTAATTTGTCTTCTGTGACACCGGTCCTCTGATTAACTATATTTTTTGTCAGTTTCTTCGTTGTGTTATATAGTTGTTTGATATTTCTTTGTTTTGCATTATTTTCCTATGTCGCTGTCAGATTTTCCACGTGTTAATGCTTGTCAGCTCTAATGCTCCTCTTGACTCTCTTGTTTGGTTCAGCGTATTCAGCTAGTGCCTTGACTTGCTCTGTTCTTTTTTTGTCGTTGTTAATTGTTATCTTCTTGTTCTCCCTTTCTTGAATACTTTTCAGAGTTTCGGTATGGATTCATTTCTTATGATGATGCTTGTTGTGTTCCAGAGCCTCATGACACTGAGGTTAGTGTTTCATTGATCCCTTCCCGCTTGTCCTCCATAGTAGTTTCCTCTTTGAGTAGATCTTGTAAAATCTGAAACGTGTTTGTTTTGAATGTTAGATCCCCAGAACTTACCTGGTAAATGTCCTATTTTTGCAATTTTATTTTGGAAATTTGAATTTCTTGTTTTCGTACCAAAAGCGCCCGTTTTCACCTTCATGTCGTACTTCCCACTTGAGAGGACCTTAAATGTCATTGGCTCGTCTCTTTTAATATGCTATTTTGTAACTTTTCTGACAAACCTTTTATGCTGTGTTTATACGCTTGCATTTGCTTGTGGTCGTCGTTCGTGCTTTTGACTGTTTGTGGAATACATTTCCATTTTCTGAACTTCTAGTTAGCGGGGCTTGGACGCATCGGAATGGTTAGTTTAATTGGTCATTATGTCACTGAGTCTTCGTTCCGTTCGCAGATTATGTGAGCTCATAATCTATTCAAGCATAGCAGTGTTGTTGAGAGTTATCTTGAATTCGTCGAGTTTGTCAGTATGTCGAAGGAACGCTGTATTGTACATTTGTAATTCTGTTCCATCAGTTATCCAGTGTTTCTTTAGTTTCAGTTTCATCTTGGCAACCACCGGTTGGTGGTGATCTGAAGTTATGTCAGTTGCTTTCCTGGTTCTTACTTCTTGCATTGACCTTCTGAATTTTTTCACATATACACACTATCAATGTTTGGTGAAACAATTATTCATTGACTGTAGTTCTTGATTCAGAAATACAAATCATATAACGTTCGTCGTTTGGTAGGTTTGTGTCTATCTTGCAGGTACATTATGTGCCCGGGTAGTTAAGAACTGTAAGTGTTATTTTTTGATAGAAAAAAGAAACAAGATTAAAAGTGAGCGGACGACTCATCTTACTTCAGTACTTACAATAAACTCTGGTGCTTGAATATGACTATTTCTTAGACTTGAGCCTAAACTGTATTTTCTACATACGTAATCTTAATCCACTTGATAATGTTTTACTTGAATCTTCCCATTGATGTTTTTGGACTGAAATTGATCAGTCTCTTATTGGCATATGTGCATACTGTGCGTATACCTCGATATTGCCTTAATTTACAAGCATTATAAGCAAAGATGGATAGTGGCTAGCAGTGGAATCCAGGACGCGCGTTTCGTCCTGTTGGGACTCGTCAGCTGGATGTGCCTGCATCTCAGAGTTGATGTTCACTCTGGGACTCGAACTCAGTACCGTTCGCTTCAAACGCCATCGCGTTACCCACTTAGCTACTGAGTCCTGATAGCCACTTGCTTGTAAATTAAAGCAATATCGAGGTATACGCACAGTATGCACATATGCCAATAAGAGACTGATCAATTTCAGTCCAAAAACATCAATGGGAAGATTCAAGTAAAACAATATCAAGTGAATTAAACTTCAACCCATTGCACAAGCAAGTGGCTATCAGGACTCAGTAGCTAAGTGGATAACGCGATGGCGTTTGAAGCGAACGGTACTGAGTTCGAGTCCCAGAGTGAACATCAACTCTGAGATGCAGGTACATCCAGCTGACGAGTCCCAAACAGGACGAAACGCGCGTCCTGGATTCCACTGCTAGCCACTATCCATCTTTGCTTATACGTAATCTTGTTTTATAGATAATCATTTAGGATTCGAATGTTCGCTGTTTAGTTCAATGTTGAACGATTTGCATTACAGTCTCTTTACCTTGCTATAGATCACAGTTTTTTTATTATTAGTTTCTTCCAATCATTTATTGCGCATTCTTAAGTTAACGTCGCATTGTATTCTGACGGAACTTATCGGTTTTAAGTTGTTCTAGTCCTTTAACCACAAAATATTATCACCTTAGATTTTTATTGTAATATTAGGCTGTTTGCGTTTTTCTCAACACTTTATTAGATATAATCCAATGAGATATGTATCTTCCAATCCAGAACTTCGTTTGTGCTTAGATCAAATACGTGATGGTTATTACTGTCCAAATGAACCTGATTTGTTTAAAGATCTATATAATAAGCTAGTTACAGAAGATAAATTTATGGTATGCGCAGATTATGGTGATTATATGCGTGCTCAGGCTGAAGTTGAATCAGCATACAAGGTAGGAATAATTTAAATTCTCTCCTTATTAAACAGATTACAATAATTTTCCTTAACAATAATAATAGTAATAATAATAGTTTATGATATCCCAATGCTTAATTTATTTAAAACTATCAAGTGCACCCTTGGTTTTTAATACCTATAAACTAATTAATTTCTTTAATTCTGTTTTGTTTTAATAACATACTTCATGCATAGAACTTAATTCATCTTTTATATTTGTAAATGTAGTTTTTAGTCGAGTGAACCACTTCAGTACGTTCAGCATGTTTACAAACGTGCAATTATAATTCAATGCATACAATATCCGAAAAAGCGTTGTAACAGATTTATTTATGAACATTTAGTTTTGTTCTTTGAGAGGGGACTCCTAACCATACATTTAATGTTACAAGTGAAAAATGGAAAAAAACAAACAATTTATTCAAATTCAACGATACAGCGGTTAAATTATACTAAGTAATTGTAGTAATTTCTTTTTAATTAAGATTTAATTGAAAATTAATATAATGAAATCCTTTTTATTCTGAAAAATAAAACTATTAAATTATTTATATTGATTTGTTGTTGATGGTTTGTTGTTTGTTAGGATGAAGTAAAATGGTCAAAAATGGTTCTAATGAATATAGCTGCAGCTGGAAAATTTTCCTCTGATCGTACAGTACGTGAATATGCACGTGATATTTGGAGAGTAGATCCAGTTATTGTAAAAGAATCTATAAAATATAATTCAGAAAATATTAACAATCCAAGATTCTGTTCCAATAATTAAAGTAAGGAGGTAGAATGATAAAGAGAACAATAGACGAGTACAATGAATACTTTCTTTTTTTTTTCTTTCTATACTAATATTTCTTATAGTTTTATTTGTATAATCAATACACTTTTTCTTTGTTTATCTGTTTGTTTTTATTTTTTTAGGTTAATTTGTTTTTTATTACAAAAAATGTTGGTTATAAAAAATTTGTTTGTTTTGTTATGATTTTTTCCAATGAAAAACTTTTCTTTTTTTAAAGAAAAAAAAATTCATCCAGTTGGTGATGTGCAATTATTTTTAGAAAGATTATTTCTAAAACTACATTTCGTCTATATTTTAAACTCAACTCATTTATACAATGATTATTGACTAATATTATTTTGTTTAAACAAAACCCTGTTTTAAAAAGAAATATATATGTAGAATGTGTTTACTTGGTTAATGAAATCTCAGTGATTGTTTTATACATTATGGTTGTGTTATCAAATTTAGTTGTTATCGGAGTTGAATATGATTGGATTTGTTTCTTGTTTTGTTTTTGATATTAAGAGTTTTATTGTTATGGGGCAAATTAAACTTCATAGACTTTCTCTCTCTCACTCATATGAGCTAAATAGTTTATTTAAATTCTGATAAATGTAAATTGATTGTTTTATTTTGTTTTAAATGAATTTTTTTTGGAAACAGATGAGTCGAATGAGTGATTAAATGGTTGCCTTAGTGATTTAGTTGTTTAATTTTCATTACAGATTTTTTTTCTTTTTATGCATTGTGTATTATGAATCTTTCTACTTATAGAGGAAAATATATCTGATTAACTTTTTAATTTGACTTCATTTATAAATTTTAATGTATTTCAAAAGTGAGTCATTAACTTAATTGAACTAACCGCAAATCATTTTATCAATTTAGATCGACACTGTTTATTGGCTTTTAATGTAAATTTTATGTGATTATCATTGCTTTTCGAAGTGTGTATTGGAAGTGCCACAACAATCATTTTCATGAGATAGATATACCGTAACTTCTTAGTTTTATTCTATCTTAGCTATTATTTTACCGACAGGTTACTTTCTATTTAATTGTCAATGATGTATTCATTTAATTCAACAAATTGTATTTTTTTAAGAGGAAAATTAGTTTGTATATAGTTAGGGAGAAGATAATATGATACCATAAATTCTGCAAATTCTTGAAGTTTTATTCTTGTTTCATTGAAACATTACGATGTTTCATGTAGTTTACCCATCCTATTGTGCTTTCAATAGACCCAGACTATTCACAGCAGATGTTTGATTGAGAATTCTTTGTTGTAGAATATGACATGAATATTTCGGAGATTATTACTTAATGTTATGATATTCAAAAGTTATTGTATAAAGTGTATGTTGCTTTCGTGTATGTATTCTCTTCATACTTTTATGTAGTTACATCATTACTTAATAGATAGATTATCGAGTGGTCACTTTTTCATTCATTCCAATCATTTATATCTCTTTAAGGCTTCGTATCAGAGTTTTTAAAGTCAGTCAAATATAACCGAGTATGCGTAACAGACAATAACAATTCCCTAGAAATCTTATATTTATTAAATTATAGTTCATCGGGATTTGAAGCATTTAAAATCACAAGACCCAACAAAGTAATAACCAAATGCGATAAAAACTATTTTGAGTACGATGATTTTTCATTGAAATTAAAAGGTTTTCAGCTTTCTTATAAAAGATGAAATCATGCGGAACTTCGGGGAAGTCGTACTTACTCTTCCTCACTCCTGTTACTCCCAATTGAGAATAGGTTGCCGACCAGCATTCTCCACCCAGCCTTTCTACTTCTATCCAATTCTCTTCATGTCTGTCTCCGTTTCTCGGCGTAATGTGTTCTTTGGTCTTCCTCTTTTCCTTTGGCCTTGAGGATTTCATGTGAGGGCTTGTCTTGTGACGCAGGTGGGGGCGGGATTCAGTATGCATTTATTAAATCACATAAATAGTTTGAAGAAAAATAAGATATGTTGGTTCTTTCTAGAAGAAATAATTTTCCATACCTGCATTCACCTTGAAGATTCATAAGGTTATCCTAACGATCCTCGATAAACTAACAGGATTAATGATATATTCGTAGTGTATTATGAATGCACTACTAAGTCATATCTGTATTCTTAGTCAGAAATATCTTTTACAAGATCACAGCTTTACTCGAGTGCTAAATTAATGTGATAATGGATAGCTCCTGAATTAAATAACTTTGCTATTGAGAAGCGGAGAAGTTGCTCTATCGAAGACCACAAATCACTATGAACAAAAAATAGTTTAAGTTTCTGTATAGGTTTTTCCCTTCATAAAGATTGTATTTCTATTTTTAGTTGATTCGATAACTAACCAATGTTCTCCTCATTTGTTTGTAGTGAATAACAATATATTGCGCTCTATAATTTAACTCCTTTCATATAATTATATTTCATAAAACAGATAAATATATGAATACTGAATATGCATTTACTTTTTTTTTAAAATGAACACACAAAAATAATAATTCTAGCAAAATAATCTGATCCCAATTTTATGGCCTATTCGCATAACCATTCAAAAAACAACGATTAAAACCCAATTCTGTCAATGGACAAAATGAATACGTCCCTGTGATGGAATTTCTTTTACTATAGTTGTACATTCGCATTTTCTATATACAGTAGCCTATGAGAAAAAACAGTATTATTGCTTTATAAACAAGATGCCAAACGTTGATCGAAGTCTGAAGTAACGTAATAGTCAATGGGAAATAGAAATGTAAAGAATATATTGAAGTGATATATGAAGAAGAGATTTTCCATTTGACGAATATAAGGAAGATAAAGTGGAAAACCAACTGGTTCCAAAACAAATTACAATTTAATAAACAGGGTTGTTAGGACCATGTGGAACTAAAAGATTGTGTGTATGGCTTTTGAAGACGAAGACTAGACATGAATTGATAAATTACTAAAGCCTCATCTATGAATACGTTTCTAATCTGGGTTCGCTTAAGACCACTTCGTTTCACTTAATGAATAATTTTAAATGAAGTGTCCATTAAAGATAAATAATCAAAATGTTTTAGATGTTTAACAATCGAGCTATAGACTGGTCTACCTTCCTATAATCATGAGAAGAATCTCTGGTTCAATTTGTGATTTAATTTACAAACAGTTCAGTAAATATAAATTTTCATGGATATTCTATAATAAAAATATAGTTTTCCAGCTACAACTTATGTTAAATGAATAGTAAACTAAACCCTTTCTTACAGTTAATAAGATATTGTCAATACTCTTATTTTATTATCATAGTGTGTTTCACTCAAAACTATCTGGCAACAAATACTTTGTATCATGTTTTCGTTATTGTTTCATTTAGCTACTACAACAGTCTGCGTAACATCAGTTAATTTTCTTTCAAACTTATTGCTACACTTGAATGAAAATTTTTTAATGATGAGTTAATGGAAGTTACAGTCAGTTTTGGTATTTATCTTGAATCTATATGGATGACTCAATTCAACATGAAGTTCTTAATTACAAATGACTGCAAGATCAGTTGGTATTGTGAGGTGTTTGGCCCTCCAGTGAATGTTTTTTTAATCTTTTATGAAGTGGGTCTTAATGATGTTAACAAGAACAACAACGAAAGCTTGTAATTAAGTCATTCAACTCAGTGGACACAAGGCTATCAAAAGACAAACGGTATTTTTTTATTTAGTTTTTAATGCAGTCCTAGTTTCAATAGTTATTTTTAAACAGCTTAATTACGTAATCATTATCACCGTAAGGATAGATCGTGTACAGACCAAATCGCAACTCTACGGATCATTGTGGAAGAATCAATTGAATGAAATTCATCACTCTACATCAACTTCATTGACTACAAAAAGGCATTTGATAGCGTGGGCAGAACAACACTATGGAAACTTCTTCGACACTACGGCGTGCCTCAGAAGATAGTCAATATCATACAGAGTTCATATGATGGATTACACTGCAAAATAGTGCATGAAGGACAGTTGACAAAGTCTTTCGAAGTGAAGATCGGTGTTAGGCAAGGTTGCTTACTCTCACCATTTCTCTTTCTCCTGGTGATCGACTGGATCATGAAGACGTCAACATCTGAAGGGAAGCACGGGATACAATGGACATCTAGGATGCAGTTGGACGATCTAGACTTAGCAGATGATCTGGCTCTCCCACCCCAAACGCAACAACAAATGCAGGAGAAGACGAACAGTGTGGCAATAGCCTCAGCAGGATTCTCCGATACAACACAGAATGCACCAATCCAATCACAATTGACGGGGGGGCTTTGGAAACTGTAAAAACCTTTACATATTTGGGCAGCATCATTGATGAACATGGTGGATCTGATGCAGATATGAAGGCGCGGATCGGTAAAGCAAGAGCAGCATATTTACAACTGAGGAACATCTGGAACTCAAAGTAACTGTCAGCCAACACCAAAGTCAGGATTTTCAATACAAATGTCAAGACAGTTCTACTGTATGGGGCAGAAACCTGGAGAACTACGAAAGCCATCATCCAGAAAATACAGGTGTTTATTAACAGTTGTCTACGTAAAATACTTCGTATCCGTTGGCCGGACACTATTAGCAACAACGTACTTTGGGAGAGAACAAACCAGATCCCAGCGGAGGGAGAAATCAGGAAGCGCTGGAAGGGGATAGGACACACATTAAGGAAAGCACCCAACTGCGTCACAAGACAAGCCCTCACATGGAATCCTCAAGGCCAAAGGAAAAGAGGAAGACCAAAGAACATATTACGCCGAGAAATGGAAATAGACATGAAAAAAAATGAAGAATTGGATGGAACTAGAAAAGAAGGCCCAGGACAAAGTGGGTTGGAAAATGCTGGTCGGCGGTCTATGCTCCATTGGGAGTAACAGGCGTAAGTAAGTAATTAATTAATCACTGAACAATTTTGTTAATAAGAATTTTCGGCGAGACTAATATTTATGGACGAACCAATCAGATTTAGATAACAGGTCTCAGATTTTAGTGAGAAATTCATACACTTATTTGACTAAATACTATTTCGGAATTATAGCTGATGTCAGTTCGTGATGAAAACAGTAAATCTAATTCCTAACCTTAACCATCAACTGTAAATCATAATTGTAATTCCGCACACTGCTTTATAACCCTCATTTAATCCTAATTATTAGGTGGGTATTCTCAAGGTCAGTTTAAGATTGCTCATAAATTATATTCTCATCACATTTTCATTTATCTAGATAAAGGGATAAATTATAAAACTTATGTAACACTAATTTATTGTATTAATTAACATTTAGACAAATACTTAAAAATTGATTAATACACATTTCGATTTAACTGGACCTTATAAAGATTCAGTTTTGTACCAAAAAAATTAATTACATAAATCAATTTCTGTTTGACATGATATTATTTTTTAATTAGTTTATAATTATTAAATAATCTATAGTCAATATTTTGTAGTTATGTAACTATTTTTGTTCATTTTCAATTGATTAACAAAGTCCTTTTTAATTACATTGTTTCAGTTTACAATATTCATGAAATTTGTTTATTAATTGAATGACATTTATATAAGGCTAATTAAATGTTGTTTGTATTTAATCATCTAATACTTAACTATGTGTAGAAAACTTATAATTATATATTCGAAGTTGAGTGACATGAAAAACTAGTGGAATCCAGAACATAATATCAACAAAACAATAAAATACATATATTGAACTGAATTGATTCATTATGCACGAAAAGCATTTGACATCACTCAATTTACCTGTACATATGTAAACACAAGATGATACTGATATCAAACTCTTTTAAACGTCATATTCAGATGGTTTGTATAAAGAATAAGATCAAACTGAAACATAGCGATGACATAAGACGATTCCAAAATATTATCTTAGGAAATCTCAATCACTTACCACGTCCAAAATAATGTTTGGGATTAAAACTAGGTGTTGGGGTTGAGAGTCATGAAAAGTGATTGAGGTTAGGGTTTCATTATCAACTGGTATCAGTTATAATACAAGAATGGATGAATTTCGCGCAAAAGTTCAGAAGCGAAATCTGATTAGTTTGTCCTTATAATCTAGTGTTGTGGATGCGCAGGAATATACCAATAATTATCATGTTAAGTTCAATGGTGTCCTTGGACTTTAAATGGACATTTCCTATTGGTCGATATCTGGTCACTCGTTGAATATTGTACAAAATGTTGTTTTCTATTTTATGGTACGCTGTGGTATGCTTGACTAGTATATAAACAAAGTATGTTTGAAATATAGTGATTCATATCTCAGAGGTTGTGACTTGTGTTCTGGACTCAACTAACTGGGCTAGACAGGGAAGCGAGACCAATAGAGACTCTAGGCCGTCCGTACGTGTTTACGTGTCATTGAATCGATCGATAAGTACGCTGCCCTCTAATTTTCCAGTCAAGGACACAACAATTAGCACAGGGTAAAAATCGACCACAACTTAAATTCATAACAATTGGCGACGGGGTAGAGAAAAATTTTGAACCTTGTAATTGGACGAGATTCAGGCTAATTGTTTCGACCAATCAGCATCCAGATTGTCACCAGCGTCCTTGAGCAACATTGGTCATTATTCCTACAGTTAATTTTCATTGCAGGTGCTGAAAAAAATGACTACCTCTTCCGATCGATTGCAGCTTCTACTTGAGCAACAACAGCAGTGCTTCAAAAATAGCCAGTTGAATTTTTTAGAAAATTTACGCACACTGCTGGTAAATCTTCCATGTTTCGGAGATGCAACAGAAGTTGGTAAATTCATTTCTCATCTGCAGACTGAGCTGGAAAACAACTGCAGAACATATGAAGCTGTTTATAAAAGCCTCTGTGAATCCCGGACGACCAGTGATGTAAACGAGACAGTTATTCATGATCCGCCCAGTTGTCCAGAAATGTCAAATTCCGAAACATTCCCTGTTGTGGGTTCGAATCCCACTGTGCCTGAAACATGTGAGGTATCCAGCTTACAAGAAGAACCTCTCGTGCCAGAAAATGTTTCCCGTGCATCAAATAATGGTCAGAAATCTAATATGAATTTCAAAGATGCTGTTTGTTTTAGTGACATATTATCCAGTGATAGAATTTTGAAGAGGTCTGAAGAATATGTTGCACAAGAATCAAACCTTAATGACCTCATGTCTGGTGTCACTAATCCCCATCATCTAGTCAGTTTTAGTGAACCCTCTACTCAATGCGCGAAATATGCTTTAATTCGAATCAGACTAACTGTTACTTGGGTATATGAGGATCCAACGTTATTTCGTGGGGGAGGATGAACCCAGAAAATTTCAAAATCCGGATATCAACTCCGGATCTTCAAAAAAAAGGGGAGGTGTTGTGGATGCGCAGGAATATACCAATAATTATCATGTTAAGTTCAATGGTGTCCTTGGACTTTAAATGGACATTTCC